ATAAGCAACAAAATAATGTTATGGCTGCTCGTCATCACAGCATGAGGAACCCTATTAAAGGGTATAGCATTGGGAAGGCTAAGAACCACTGGTCTATAGTTTGATTTTACTTATTTGTGTCTAGAACAGTGATACTCATGGCCTAGATTTAAAGAGTAACTGTACTTAGTTTGTGTTAGACTTTTGTTATGGCTACTGAAGAAAATATGCCTTCCATAAGCTATACAGTTTTCATAAGAGAAAAACCTAGGGTCTAAGAATACAGTTCATTGGAGAAGTGCTTTGCCTGGCATGGATAAAATACCCAGCACCCTCTCCCATACACACACGCACACGTGCACGCACACACACAGTGTATGAAGTTTATTTTAATGCCAACTGAAGATAGGTAAAGTATTAAAATAAAAACATATTTGTCTTTATTCATTAATGAAATGATACTGAAAGGAATTCTAAATTGTCTTTTCATTAGTAATGATTAGTGTTCTTTTAGTTACTTGTTTTCAACTACTTCCTGTGATAAATACTTAGGGGATAAACTGAAGGAGAAAACTGTATCATATCACTAAAAAGAAGCTTATCATCTTCCAAAGTCTTCTAAGCCTCAGGCAACTTTATATACCATACTTACATTAGGGGAAAGATTTTCCATACATATGTGTGCAACACACATACATACACATGTGTGTATTATACACAAAAATGTACATCACATACATGTACATGTGTGCATCACACACACGCATCACACACATAAATACACACATGTGCACCACACATACCTACACATGTATCATACACACATATATGTATCACACATACACATGTATGCATCACAAATACATATGCAGGCATCACACACATACACATGTGTGCACCACACATACACATGTGCACATCATATACATACATGCATCACACATAAATATACACATGTGCATCACACATACATACACATGCATGTATCATACACACATGCACACAAGTATGCCACACACAGATGCACACATGTGCATCACATACCTATACACATGCAAAGGCTATGAGAACTTAATAAAAATGACACAATGAAAACAGCATGTAGTCCATAAATGAGAGCAGAAATGAAAAACAATGCAGTTTAGCACCCATGAGACATGGTGTCAAAAAGACTGATATCTCTGATGACATGCTAAAGTACATCATTGTCCTGACTTTTCCTGATCATATTTAAAAGATTGTTCATATACAAACTTATGTACATACTACTTGAGGGAAACTTTTAAATGTTAATAATTTATGCCATTTATGTCACTAGAACTCATTACTTTAAAGACTATTTCTCAAACATTGTCCTTATTGTGAAAAGCTGGGTCATGGATTAACTAACTATTGCTGTTTCTCTAACACTTTATACAGATTCAGAATGGAGGATGCAAATAGTCACTCACTGTTCTTAAAAATAGTATCTCTCTCTGTATTTTGTGAGACAGTTTACTATGGAAAAAAGACCCAAGCTTTAGAGAATTACTGTTAACTTACTGTAAAGAGTTGTCTAGGTCACTGAAAAAGCTTTTGGTAATGATGGATTGCCATGTTTAAAACCATAGGGAAACACTGTTTATATATAATCCACCACTTTCAATTTGAAAGACTTAACACTAGATATTTAAGAAATCTACAGTTTCTGCATAAGAGACAAAAAATTCTAAAAATTCTTAGACTCCATAACACAGAGCAGCCCAGCAACGTCTGTTGGTACTTGCTAGTCTGAACTTCACGAGGCCCATTAGGATTCTGTTTGGAAGGCTTATTTCTGATTGTGGGCTCTCAGATTAGCAGGTGCCTCTGTGAATTGCAAATTTTTCAGGAGATCAGACATAGCCTTTCAAAACCATCATGACAAATCAGTGGAGACACTGCAAACCGCAGGTGAAAGGAGCACAGCCTGGCCAGGTTTCCTCACATCAGTGGCTCTTACCTCACCTCACGGTGCTCTGTACACGACCAAGTCCTCCACATCCACGGAAGTAATCTGTTTATACTGCGAATGCTTCTCAAACAGGGCTATCAGAAGATATTTTCAAAAGCTAGAGTTCTGTATAAGAATTCAACTTTTACAATCTAATTTAGTGCCATAATTTAAATAATAATCTTTTAAAATGAATATACTATGCTAGTTGACTTCAGAGTAATTCTTCACCAGTAATGAAAACAAACAGAACTAGAAGCAGCGTTAGTGATAGTAAGAGTTAATAATGCTGACACGCCTGCCCAAGAGAATGTCTAAAGCACTGCACACTATACAAATAATGATCTCGGGGCTGGAGAGATGGCTCAGTCGCTTAGAGCCCTGTCTGCTCTGCCAGAGGATCCAGGTTCAATTCCCAGAACTCAGAAAGCAGCTTACAACTGTCTCTATTCCAGAGAATTCAACACCCTCACACAGACATACATGCAGGCAAAATACCAATCCACATAAAATTTAGAAAAAAAAAATCTCCTCATTAGCTCAATACATCTCTTTTCGGCTTGTTAGGCAGGTTTGGTTTCAGTTGTTTGCAATGAAGACCCTGACTCATTATTATCTGGGACCATCTAATGTCTCTCTTCTGTCATAATGCTGTAAGTCTAATTCATCTATAAGTATTTTATAATTCAGCCTTTTCATGCAAAGACTCAAAGTTACTACAAGATCACTGTGCACTTTAATGTTTTTCACTTAACAGAATTATTTTAGAGATTTGTCCATATTAAAACCCCAAGCCCAAGCATGACCCATCACAAGTATTTAACCTTCCACTGTGAGGGTATACCATAATATACTCAGCCAGTTTCCGACTGGACTCCTCCAGTGGAGACGTGGAATGCTTTAAACTCTGCCAGTCCTCCTCTGTGCTTACATGAACTTCTCCTAGGTAGATAAGCCCTTATTGACAAAAATCCAGGAACATGCCCACTGTTTCCTTAAGGAAGTAAATCAGTTTACATCTATGGTGTACACAACATGCCGGCTTCCTCTACTCTTCCCAACCTAGTTAGTTATTAAGTTGGGCATTTTGCCAGATGATTGTAAAAAACATTTTGTGTCAGAATTCTTTATATCTCTCTGACATGTATCATAATATCATTTTTACCAGAACTTTTGATTCTTATGTATTCAAATATAGCAAAATTATCTTTCAAAACTTCTGGATGAGTTACCTTTAATACCAAGAAAAGACTTCTATTCTGAAACTACATTAAAAAGCTAGCCTTGGGGCTAGACAGACTGCTCAGTGGTTAAGACTTGCTGCTCTTGCAGAGGACCCAGGTTCAGTTCTCAGCACCCACAGGGTAGCCCACAATCATCTGTGACTCCTGTTCTAGGGAATCTGACACTGTCTTCTGACCTCTGTGAACACCAGACATGCAGGCACCTCACACTGTACACACAGGTAAAAAACACTTGTACACAGAAAATAAAATAAATCCTTTTTAAAAGCCATCCTAGTCTGTTCTTCCTGCATTAACAATTTAATATTTGAGTGTTAATTCAATGGAAATATATCTGGCAAAAAGAATAAGAAAATCTGTAAGCATAGCTTGTTCTAGATAGTTAACTGCTTCTCAACCAGCTACTGGGCTGTCTACTGGCCCCAGAAAGTACTACCCAAACTGTTTGAATATTGTACCTTTAGGGTATACTTCAACATTTAATATACAATACAGCTAAGTTAAACTTATTTATTTTAAGATTTTAAGTATGTATATGTACGTATGTCTTGTGTAGGCATGTGCAGGTGAGTACACACGCCCTCGGAGGTGTGATCCCCTAGAGCTGGGACGATGACAGCTGAGAGTCACCTGACATGGGGGCTGGGAACTGATCTCAGGTTCTCTGCAAGACCAGTGCACGCTCTTCAGCACTGGGCCATCTCTCCAGTCCCCAAAATATATTTTTATATTATTATTATCAGTGTGTGTGTGTGCTCGCGTGTGCATGCCATGGCTCGTGTGTGGAGATCAGAGGACAATACTGTGGGGTCAGTTCTCTCTCTCCACATTTACATGGTTGCAGGACATGGTAAGGTCATCAGCTTTCATGGCAAAACACGTGGACTCGCCGAGCCACCTTACCAACCCCAGTTAACTTCCTGTTGTATACCAAATGATTAAAATTTTGTGTGAAAAAGACTTCTGTAATGTAGTGTTCCAAGACAAACTACCTTTTGTACTTACAACTGGAAGATGACATTTACTTGGAATCAGGATGTACACAAACTGTAGAAAGCGGGGTAATGCTCTCAAGGTCTGCTGGGAAGGGAATCTGTGCACTAACCTCATCAGTTTTCATTCCTTCTCTCTTCCCACTGTCCTTTGATAATTAGCATATCATGGCTTTTTTTTTTCTGTGTTAGACAGTCTCATGTAGCCCAGGCTAGATTCCAAGTCCCTCTGTAGCTGAGGTTGACTTTGAATTCCTAATCCTTCTGTTTCTGTTCCCCAAGTGCTGAGCTTGCAGGCATACATACAGCAGCACACTGAAATTTCCACATCCCTCTCTCCACACCTTACACAGGTATAGTGATAATTGTTAGGGGTTAGTCTGGTGTTGCTATGAATTTAAATGCTAAATGCCGGCCCCCAAGTCAAGCAGAGTGTCATGTACAACACGTGACACTATGTAAACTCTACACCACACTTTAATTAACTAATAAATGGCTAGAGACTGTGACTGGGCAGTAGGGAGAGACAGGCAGGATGTGAGGATGGGTGACTGGTTTGAGACGAGACCAGCGGAGGGGGGGAGGAGGAAGAGAGGGGACCAAGGGACGAGGGGACGCCATGAGAGGAGACGGACCATGAGTCCGTGTCCAGGAGATACAGCAAGTAACAAGGAACATATGGATGGGATAGAAGTTCAACCAGCTCAGAACCTGCCCAACCTGGGCTTACAGCTTGCAACTAAACTACCAGGATTATGTGTCTTTTATATGGGCTAGTTAGGATAAGTAATTCTTATTACAGATAACTCATACCTGTTTGATTTTGTCAATAGCCAGAGCAGCTGAGAACACGACTGTCTCACTAAAGCTGCCCTGACAGGGAACGTGACAGGCTGGGTTAGCTCACTGCATATGTAGTCCATCTCTTTCACCATCGACCAACTGTAGCCTGAAGTGGGAAGAAAGCAATGTGCACTTGTGATTGGAATCCTGGAAGTCAATTTACTAAAAACCCAAATTACCCAGGAGAAGACAACTCTATCAGTAACTTACAGGTGAGTTCCTACTCTACAGAATTTCCATTGAGTTCAGAGTGAATTAAAACATCACAGTAAAGAAAAAAATTAATTGTATTTATGTATTTAATTGTGCTGGGTGGAATCCATGGTCTTGGACATGCTAAGCAGGTAGAACATCCTTAAGCCACCTGTGGTTTGGCCCCCATAGACTCATGTGTTTGAATGCTCGGTCCATAGGGAGTGGCACCATTAGGAGGTGTGGCCGTGGTGGAGTAGGTGTGGCCTTGCTGGAGGAAGTGTGCCACTCTGGAGGCGGACTTTGAGATCTCATATGCTTCAGTTAGGTCTAGTGTGGCAGTCTCCTGCTGCTGCCTATAGATCAAGATACAGAACTCTCAGCTCCTTCTCCAGCACCATGTCTGCCTACATACTGCCATGACGATAATGGACCGAATCTCTGAACCTGTAAGCCAGCTCCAATTAAGAGTTTCCCTTTATAAGAGTTGCTGTGGTCATGGTGTCTCTTCACAGCAATGGAAACCCTAAGACACCACCGAACAACAATGAAACGTTCAGGGACAAAGCTGAGTTCTTCAGCCACTCGTATGTGCTTGAGCTAACATCTGAGTTTGCTCTGTACTCTACTGAAGAAATGAGTCTGGAATATTTCACACATTTGCAAAGATCAACTTGGTATTTGCTCAAAGAAAATTGCTTAGAATTATCACCTTCATTGACTTTCTCTGGATGCCATCCTGTTGTCCAACCCAAGGAAAAGGTCACGTCTGGAAAGAAGGATGTCACGGTGTCTAGAAAGGCCTTGGCATCTACTACTTTGCTGCTCCCGTTTGGCCCAGGAAGAATATCGGCATTAATCCACACGGGCCGCTGCAGGTGCTGTTTCACGCTGTCCAGGAAGAGCATGGATGCTCTGACGGCTGCCAGACTGAAAAAGAGTGTGACCAGTCAGTCTTCCCACACTGAGGTCTTCCTGTTCTCAAATTCAAAGTCAAATAAAAGAACTCACATGGGACCAAAGGGGAAGACTAACACATATCCTACCTCAAGGTATTTATACTTCATTTTCATGAAAGGAACTTATAGATTTTACAGTGATATGAATAACGTCAGTTCCTATGGACCTAACAGGGGCTTCAGAACTCCACATTTGTGTCACGAAGTGTGAAGTGATGCAAAAAAAGATACAAATATTCACTTGTCAGCCACACTCAGGAAATAGCAGTTGCACCTGGGAACAGTCTGAGAGTGGTTCCTGTTACCACAGCCTCTGATAAAATTGACCCCAACACTCACAACCCTGTGGGAGGAAAGGTCTCTTGTCCTTCATGCATGATTAGGTGAATTTGGAGACATAAACACATTTCTTAAAATGCCTAGAAATACTAAAACCACACATCCTTTGGGCTGGAGAGACAGCTCAGTGGTTAAGAGCACTAGCTGTTCTTCCAAAGGAACCATGTTCCATTCCTAGCACCTACATGGCCGCTCCCAGGCATCTGTAACTCCATTTCCAGGGCTTCTGATACTCTCAAAAGACATTCATGCAGGTAAAATGCCAATGAACATTAAATAAAAAATAAATTTAAAAAACATATTTCCTAAAGCTAATACAAACTCGGACTCTTCCTGTATTGTGAACACTTCTGTGAAAATGATAAGATACTTTAGCTCCTCTTGAAAAGTGGGTTGTCTTCTCTTCCCTACGACTATTACAGCCACAGAATTCAAAGCAGGAAAGGCTTCTGTTGCTGTTTTTATTTATTCATCTGTTGGTTCTTAAGACAGAGTTTCATTATGTATTTCTGGCTGGCCTGAAACTTGCTATGTAGTACATGCTAGCCTCAGTTCAGAAATCATCCTGCTTCTGCCTGTCTTAAACCCTGGGATTAAAAGAATGTGTCAGCATGCCCAACTGACAGAACAGTCTAAGTTTAGTATATCATTTTTACTTTGTGTATACATGTCTGTGTCTTACTATTCTCAGATATAAGCATGCATGCACACACACACACACTTAACTGGAGAACCTCACTGCTTTAAGATGAGTACAATGCTTCTGACCCTTTAGAAATGTTCCCCCAGCTCCCGTGCTACTGTGATAGCGGCTGAGAACCCTGGGGACAGGAGAAACATCAGCTCTTCCTGAGGACAGGTGTTCTGTCTGTGCTCCTCTCCTGTCCCTCCTACTTTAAGAGAGACACTTTATTAACTCACGTGCTGAAAGCAGAGGCATGTGGTCCTCGGCCTCCAGTCTTTACCTTGCATTTCTCCCCATTGTCCCTGAAATGGATGTCCTAGATTTTAGTGGATTAATAAGTAAGCCTCAGGCAGGACTTTGAATTTAGATGCTTTTATTTCTCTGTAATGCTAAACAGCTAAGTGCTACACATTAGTATTTCGTGCACAGAGAAGGCTGCCCTGGCCCTGAGTCCTGGGATCTGCAGCTGGCTCCGCAGTCCTCTTCGGGTGAACCCCTTAGCTACTCTGGGACTCAGACTGTTAATAAAACAGATGAACCACTCATTGTAAAAGTAACTCTATTCACCTGATGTGACTATAATCTGGGAGGCTTACTGCCCCCATCTGCTTACTGCTGAATAAGCTCACTCTTTCTGGTTCTTTCTGAACTCTGACTGGTTGGTCAACTCAGCCGTTCTGGCTCAAACTCCTCTCCACACAGACTGGTTCAAACTGGCTTCTTTTACCTTCTAACTGAATTGCTTTGCTTTGCTTTGTCTCATACTAACTTTGGCAATGTGTTCTAATCTTCTAGCTTTTCTGTCTTCACCTGTATCTAGCTTGTTCTCTCTCTGCAACCTGTCTCTGTACAACTCTTTCAGTCAAACGGCCCTCTCTCCTCTTCTTTCTCTGCACTGCTCTCTTAAGTAGCCTGTTTTCTCTCTGTTCTCATGAGTTGGGCATATTCTATTCTGTCAAATCTTTCTCTGATTTGTCACTTTGTCTGCCTCTCAATTAGACATCACTTTCAAACATGGCTGCTTCCACTTTATCTTCCTTGTTTGGGCTTAAAGGTGTATACTAAGGGTGTGCCTTATTCCATCTAGAGAGATTAAAGCAGTGTGCTAAAGGGTTGCCTGTGTGTCAGCCAGAGAAGCCACATTACTGGATTAAAATCTTTCTAGAACTCACCACCCACAAAACTCGCTGGTCTTCAGACGATTCTGTAACTCAGGCCTTGTCAGTCCAGACTCCTCTACATCAGTTCTCCACAGCCACCTATCACAGCCAAGTGAGGTTTGCTGGGCATTCATTCACCCACAAATGGTTAGGGTTATCTTAATAATCCTACAAGCTTTTCAAATCCTACTCACCAAAGGTTTTTATTTTTATTTATGTATGTGTGCCATGTGGGTACAGGTGTCTGCAGAGGCCAGCAGAGGGTGTTGGGACTCCTGGAGATGGAGTTACAGGCTGCTTTGTGCTACCTGACATGGGCGCTGGGAGCCAAACATGGGTTCTCTGAAAGACCAGCAAATGCTCTTAACTGCTGAGCTCTTTCCAGCCCCGAGATAACTTCACACTGAGGTATGATTCAAAGATGGGGTGAATTTGCCACTAAATCTAGGTTTGAATGGCAGTGGCCACTGGAGCTTGTGGTAATCCATTCTGCATGCCATCAATTCCAGACATTATAGCTTTCTTCATGGCCAAATGCCATAAAAGGCACATCCCGTGACAGACATTGGAGGGGAATGAGACTCATTCCTGCTCACATGGTCAGTTCTTGCAAAATAGTATTTTAAAAGATGCTTTGATTACTGATGACTTTCAAACAAACCTCTTTACTAATATAAAACATAATGAAATTGAATATGCAGGTACTGGCTCTGTTAACGCCCTCTCCTTTCAGAGTACTGGTGGAGAAAAGCACTTTCAGTTTGTCATTCTGTGGTATGATAGTTACATGTGAAACATTCCTTTATAAAAGCTGACTTTATATATACAGTATTTTAAACTTTCTGATATATATTACCATAAAGGAGCTCATTTTGAGTCCAAAGATCTCATGATTCTTAATGTTTTTGTTTCTCTATATTAGCCAGTATTTGACATAAAAATAAATTAACTTTTAGCATGGTAAAAAAAATAAATAAAAATAAATGCTGACTTTAGTTTTAAAGGTCCTTAAGGAGCAATCTTAGCCATTGGCACAATGTCCTTTTACATCTATTCTAGAAACACATAAGGTCTAAAATTTCTTTTCAGTTTGGATAAGGTATAAGAATAGGTAGTTGTAGTCGGGCAGTGGTGGTGCATGCCTTTAATCCTAGCACTTGGAAGGCAGAGGCAGGCAGATTTCTGAGTTCAAGGCCAGCCTGGTCTACAGAGTGAGTTCCAGGACAGCCAGGGCTATACAGAGAAACCCTGTCTAGAAAAAAAAAAAAAAAAAAAAAAAAAAGAATAGGTAGTTGTGGTCATTTAAATAGGTATGTTCACTCCCTACAGACTCTGTATGAATGCTTGGCCCATGGGGAGTGGCACCATTAGGAGGTGTGGCCTTGTTGGAGGAAGTGTGTCACTGTAGGGATAGGTTTTGAGATCTCCTATGTTCAAGGGACTTTGAAATCTCCTAAGCTCAAGCTATGCTCAGTGTGTCACAGTCTCCTCCTGCTGCCTGTGGATCAAGACGTAGAACTCTCAGCTCCGACTCCAGCACCATGTCTGCCTGCACACCACCATGCTTCTTGCTATGATGGTCATGGACTAAGCCTCTGAAACTGTAAGCCAGCTCCAACATAATGTTTTCCTTTACAAGACTTGCTGTGGTCACACTGACTCTTCACAACAATAAAGCCCTAAGACAGTAGTCACAGACAGAGATGCGTGTCTTAATGTCCTCCCTGAATGTGAATTCTGTAGCAATTCAAGCACGTTTGTAAAAGTACCTCTTGAAATCCAACTTGATGCCCTTGTTGCTCTTCACGACCTCAGCCAGCCACTCCTGCAGAGTGTTGTCACTGCTTGTCTCAGGAGGATGGGCCATGATTGGCTGGCCATGCTCTGATCCGTCACTAGGAAGAAGGACATCAGCCTCTATCATGTGAGCAGCACCTGCCCAAGTAAGAGCTTACGTTACTGCGAACAAAGACTGACAGTCAGGAGCAGCACCTCGGGGCCCATGTGAGAAAGAAGAGACACCGAGCAAATGCAGAATGCCAAGCACTGTACGTGGCCCACGCTCTGTCCTTACATGGCTCCTCAGCCATTACCCTGCCTACAATTCTTTTCTAACATCTAGCAAAGTGAACAACAGGAAGGGAAGGGAAGTAGACTAAGTATTTGTTGGTAATAAAGATAGTATATTTGAGCAGGGAGTGCCTCTCAACAGTGCTACTTGCCTGGTAGTATGGGCAAGGTTCTGGTTCTACCTCTACCACCACACATGTATACACACATACACACACATACACCCCTGCACACACACAGACACACAGACGGAGAGAATCACAGACACATGCATGTATTATCTTCTTGATATCAAATTAGATTCATGGACATTCACTGCTCATGTCTGAAATGCTACATAAAAATTAATGTCTTTGATTTAAAGCTTGGCTACTTTTTAAAAGTGACTTTTTTTTTTTTTTTTTGGTGGAACAGGCTGTCACCATGTAGTCCAGGCTGGCCTCTAACTTGCAACTGTGCTGCTCCAGCCTCCCAAATGCTTGGACTGCATGTGTGCAGCACCACCCTCAGCTCTGGATGTGTGCTACCAGGAGTGAGGCAGAAACAGACATCTGCCAGTGGCTATTGTTCTAATAAAACCCTGAAATAGAGCATCAGCAGTGGGACTAGGAAGCCTTAAAAAGGTAAGGAAGGAACTTTAATGGAAATAGACAAAGCAGTATGGAAATGATCCATAACTTGAAAACTGACACTTGTCTTAATTTTTATATTTATAAATGTTTATATTGTATAAGAACATATAAATATTTTATATTTATTCATAAAGTTATATACATACATACATACATACATACATACATACATACACACACACACACATACATATCTGAGTGCATGCATGTGAATGCCACAGTGGCGGAAGACCATGTATGTGTAAGAGTTGGTTTTTTCCTTCTTCCATGAGGGTCTGGGTACCACACGTAGGTTGTAGGCTTGGTAGCAAGCATATGTATACACTGAGCAACATTGGTAGCCCCATCTGTCTTATGCAATAGTAAAGCTCTAGCAACACTCTCCCCTGTAGTAAGCAATGGTAGACGATCACGAGAGCACCAAATCAACGTGTGGAGCTGACGTGGGTGGTCTCTGTCAACTGTGAAAAGGACTGTGTGGGGAAAGGTGAACAATTAGCTATTGGGCCTTTTAGTAGCATACTAAGGAATATTTCCAATTTAGACCCCCAAACTTCCCTAGATATCTCATCTTCCATATAAATCTATTGGTAATTATACTATATAGAGAAGACAAACTTTCAAATAAAAGTACAATAGAATATAGTCTCAGTGCCAATAGGGCAGCTGCAAGACTCTTTATGAAACCTCAGAGAGATAGCTCTCCACGTAACTATGTGAAGAGAGTTTAGAATACTAAGAGTGCTTGCTCACAGTAACCAAACCTGCAGTAACCAAACCTGCAGACCAACCAACCCAGAGTGAAGACTATCACAAGGCAACCTGGATTTGTGGCTTTTGGCTAAAGGAGTAGTTTATAATTTGGTACATAATAAACCCACAAGCTGGGGCTACAGAGATAGCTCAATGGTTGCACATTGTGGACATATGTACATGCAGAAAGCAGACAAAACACTCAAGACTCGGAAAAGTATTAAGTAAATCTTAAAAAATAAAGCATATATATCTAACAGTGTTCTGCCTGCATATGTGCATGCATGCATGCAGAAGGCAGCACCAGATCTCATTACAGATGGTTGTGAGTCACTATGCGGTTGCTGGAAACTGAGCTCAGGACCTCTGAAAGAGCAGCCAGCCCTCTCTCCAGCCAAAGCCCACATGTTTATGGGAGATCAAACATGTGCTTGAATCAAAATGAACAGAGATCAAGCTGGAGAGATGACTTACTAATTACAAGCACTGACTGCTCTTCCAGAGGTCCTGAGTTCAAGTCCCAGCAACCACATGGTAGCTCCCAGCCATCTGCAATGGGATCCAATGCTCTCTTCTGGTTTGTCTGAAGATGGCGCCAGGCTCCTAGTAACACAGACATCTGGACCTTAACCTCTTACCATGGAAGCTAACCCATGGAAGCTTCCACAAATGGTCAGCCTTGAGAAAAACAACTTACCCAGTAAAGTTTACCCTTTAACAACATGAGCTACAAGTGCTCATGACCTGATGGTCAGTGTGGGGATGTGGCTTTTCTGGAGAGCTGTTGTCTTTGCACATCAACATTTATACGCAGGGTTTTAGAGCCTTTAGCTCTTTTATATTGCGAGCAAAGGAATGAGAGCCTAAGGCAGGTTCAAGCCGGTTCAGGCTTTCCACAGTGAAACTGCGCCCCCTGACTCTTGCAAAGAGGACTTTGCCCCTTCCTCTCAGGGGTGCCATAGTATCTCCAGAAATTCACTCACTGCTTTTCTTCAGTGCATTTCAATAAAATCTCTCCTTGTCTGTTCACGTCTGCTGACTTCTTTTTACCACATGCACTGCTGGCCGCCTACATGCCAGTTCACAGGGCAGACAGTGAAGTAATAACCAAAAATGGCACCAACTCAAAGGCTTATGAACTGATGAGTGGATAAAATGCACTCCTTTGTGTATAAAACGATGCAGCAGAGATCCGTGTGAGAAAACAGCAACCTCAGGACCATACCCACTAAAAGGAATAGCAGAAGCGAGGCAAGGCAAGGAAATGCATTGGGCGTGGGGGACAGTGTTCAATCCTGGGGTCAGGAACAGGCGTTTTTCTTTAAGAAATGGCAATCCGATTGATGCCACAGGCTTTGTGGTAGGCTGGCCAGGCCTGGCCTGGAATGTAGCTCTGTAATTCCCATTGCTTGGGAGGCTGAGGCAAAAGATAGAGTTCAATCATCCCTATAGTTCAATTCCCAGCACTCACATGGCAGCTCACAATTGCCCATAACTCCAATCCCAAAGAATTCAATGCTCTGTTCTGGCATCTGGGCATCAGGCACACTCACGGTGCATAGATATACATGCAAACAAAACACTCATACACATAAAATAAAAATTAAAAAATTAAAACTGGCCAGGCAGTGGTGGCGCATGCTTGTACAGGGCTTTCAGGTCACTAAGATGGTTTGAAGACTCCAAAAAATAGGTCCCATCCCTCACACGGATCCTGAGAAATAAAGCAGCGGTTTAGCCGACGAGTGTCAGACTATTACTCGTATCACCCTGACACTAGGACAAATGGCTCAGCTTAGTTGAGAGTGAAATGAGCCTGATAATTTCTAACTGCAGCAATCATCCCTGGTCCAAATTTTGGAACACAGTCTGTTTCCAGAGCCAAGCGCTAGCGAGAGCATCCACACAGCTGCTGGCACCCTCCAGGGGAACTGCACACTCCCTGCTCTACTGACTCCAGCAGGCTGGCTCCCAATCCAGCCAAAGCACAGCTCAAGACATTTTCCTGGGATTTCAAAAAATGTACTCAGTTAATACATTACCCAAAGAAAATTGAAGTAGTCAGGTATAGTAGCTCATGTCTAGAATCCCAGCACTTGGAAGGCTGAGGCAGGAGGATCACAAGTTTGAGGCCCGCCTGGATTACATATCAAAGAGTGTTTTAAAAATAAAATAAAATGAAATAAAATAAGAAAATAATTTTTTGTAGAAGCCACTTACTCTTCAGCGCCTCGCTCATCTGAGACTTGTGGTTGGCTGCATGGTACCAGAGAATCTCAGCGCCATCTTCTGCCATGATCTGGCTGTTCCTCAGAAAATATTTCAGTATATTTTCACTCCAGGATCCTAAAATAACAATATTTACGTGAAAAGAATATTGGTTTTGATGGGGTATATTTTTAAGGTAGATAACATGATGCTGTGAGATACAATGGCAAGAAATAGTTTCTATCCTGAGGTAAATAAACATACCCACCATCTCATAGATAACCATTTTTAAGGTTTGGGGTGAGTGTGTGTGTGTGTGTGTGTGTGTGTGTGTGCGCGCACGCGCGCGCAGGTGTATGGATGAAGAGCAGCTAAAATCTCATTAGCATAAGTTTTATAAACATTTTCATTACCCCTCGCCTTCATGGACACTCTACTTCTAGATTTCCTAGGCTCATTCATCCCACGCATCTGCTCTGTATCCTTTGACCAATACCTCCTCCTCTCTCCTGTGAATAGCCAATGCTGCTATCTCTACTTCTATAGAGTCGAAAATTTTCAAGCTCTACAAGTAATGAGATCATGCAATATTTTCTTTCTGTGGCTGGCACAATGATATTTCCTAGGCTCATATGTGTAGCTTCTAGCAACGGCTTTGTCAGAGTGGAATACTATTCTACTGATAACACATACCACATTTTCTCTATCCATTAGTCTGTCATTGTAGTCTTGGGTGACTTCTATGCCTTGGCTAATTATGAATGTTCATAGACATTCATTTACAAGGTAATGGTTTTCTTCCCATGGGTACATGCCCAGAGGGGTAAATGCTGGATTATAGGGTTAAAAAAATTTTTTTATATAAATGAGTAAAAGATACAATGAAGGAGAAAAACCAAGCAATTGAGCTAGAGAAAATAGAGCTAAGAAACAGAACATGTAGTGTGATGTGTACATATAATCATACATCATGCTATAATTAGTAGTCATATAGTGTGGTCTGGAGATCAGAGAGGACAAACCATGTAGGGGAGTAGAGAATTGCTAAGAATTAGACACTCAAGAGCAGAAATTCTACATTATGTCCTCCAAGAACCGAGGTTCCTCTGTATAGAGCCGCAGCAGTATGAGTTCATTGAGGGCGGTTCCCTCTCCTCCACGGTGTATCTGCCTTCAGACCATGACTCTCTGGGCAGTTCCCTCTCCTCCACAGTGTATCTGCCTTCAGACCATGACTCTCTGGGCAGTTCCCTCTCCTCCATGGTGTATCTGCCTTCAGACCATGACTCTCTGGGTGGTTGAGCACTTGAATTCAGGGCAGCAGTCACAGGCTCAGCTGGCACACACAGATACAAGTAATGCATACATTCACCAGTTGCTTACGGCATACCAGGTTTCTCTAAGTCCTGTTATTCAGTCCTGCGCCTAACTTCCTTGTGTGCAAAATATTCTGCCCTCTGCCAACTGTTGGCTTATATCTGCCTGGAAACAGTTAAAAAGCCTAAAAAAAATGCTATTGCACATTGCCAAGAAAATATTAGGAAAAGTAGGGATTTTTTGAGATGGCTCTGTGGTTAACGGCACTGACTGCTCTTTCAGAGGACCCAGGCTTGATTCCCAGCACCACCATGAATGCTCACAACCTTCTGTTAAGTCCAGTTCCAGGGAATCAACTACCTCTTTTAGCCTCCATGCCTGTGAAGCATAGACTTACATGAAAGCAAACACATATATAACAGGATAATTACTCTTTGGTCATAAAATAGTGCTTCTTTCATTTTGAACTACCTCAGTTCATTTCAATCCAAGTGTATGTATCTCTCATAAAGATGGCATTATTCTTAAGATTTATTTATTTCCTATGTCTGGGTGTTTTGTCCACCATGTCTGTGCCTATTGTCTGCAGAAAACAGAATTCAGCACTGGATTCTAGAACTGGAGTCATGGACAGCTGTGAGCTACCAAATGGGTGCTGGGAACTAAACCCAGGTCCTCTGGAAGTGGCTGTAACCACTGAGCAATCTTCCCAGCCTCAGCATGTTGCTAGTTTACATACCAAACTATAAACCACTCCTTTAGTCAGGAGATAGAGACTCGAAAGATAATGTCTGACATCTTGAACAAGCACTCTCCATAAAGGAAGGAGAGTTGGCTGAACGCTGCCCCCAGCAGTGCCTGTTCCCAGCACAGGGCCCTGTTCAGATATGCAAAAGTATTCATGGCTGTATTTAAATATTCAATTCAGCACATTAATTCTTAGTAGTGACAAATACCAAGGAGGAAAAACAATCAAATCATAGTATACGTTCATGATAAAAAACATAATGGTTTGGACACTTGAATCACATATCTCAGCAGCTCAGGGTAGGAAGAGTATAAGTTCAAAACTAGCCGAGACAGCAGGACGTAAGATCCTGCCTAAAATAATGTAAGAAGGGACAGACAGACAGAGACCAAATGACTTAGAAAATTGGTCCTTCTTTCCTGGATGGTTGCCAAAACAAACCTCAGCATTCATAAACAGTGCACATTAGGTTTTGCCATTGCACCTTGCCACTGTCTTTACATTGCACTCAGAGGTTTTACAAAGGCATCTTGCAAAATAGTAATAAGGCACAACAATGCAGGACTTGTAAGCACGCCAAATACATTTTTCTTAGGTATACTGCTGTTCTGTATACTTAGTGAGTCATAATGGAGTTATGTCCAGGTAAGCTAATTGTTGGGTTAAAATATCCTAATTCAAAATACATTCAACATACCTACAGGACTTATATCTTCTTTAAAGTTGAAGGCAAAGCAGGGAGTTGGGCCTGTCATGGGGCTTTTGAAACTTCAAAGCTTGCTCCCAATGACACTCCTCCTGCAATAAGGCCAGGCCTCTCAATCCTTCCCAAAACTGTTCCACCAACTACAGACCAAGCACTGGAACATAGACGCCTATGGGGGCCAACCTCGTTCAAACCACCACAAAGAATATCTGTCCTTTGATTCAGAAACTCTAGTTCTATGGATTTATTCCATACATAGATAAGCTCATTTGGGAGAAGACATTCCATTCAAGAGACATAATGCAGAAGAGTGAAACTTTAATGTTTGTCAACATATATAGGGTCCATTCTGTGGCACTTAAAATGAATAAGGCAGCTATTGAGGTAGTAGAATTTCGCGTGGGGAGAGCATTAGCGCACCGGTGTTCCTGTAGCAGGAGGGGTAATGAGGACCTGTGCATACGCTACACAGCAAGCCAGGAAGCCTGCTAGTCAGACGCCTGCAGCATCTTTGTCAACTTGTGTTTTCTTTTTTAGAGTCCATGAAAGTGAGGACACAAGATATTTTAATTCCAAATGGAATTTAGGGTTGCTAATCAGAAATAGGAGGACATTTATATGAGTGTATAAATTTTAATAACAAGGTCCTTATAAGTCTACAGGGAGAAAGGCCAGTAAAAGTCGAGGTGATGTAGTGAGAAGAACTCAACCAATTATTTCCGGCTTGAGAGGTGCAGGAAGAGACCTTGTGAGCCAAAGGGGCCAGAAAGGCAGGCAAGGCCACTGTCACCCACACCTCCTGGAGAAAGGCAGGCCTGCTATCACAGAGCTCTCAGCCCTCTGAGATCTGATTCAGACAAGGGAACTGAAAACAGCTTCAGGGTGGTGGCTGTGTCTCCTGTCAGAATACCCCTTTCCTAGTTAGATGTCCTTAAGTACCAGGGCTTTTCTCTATACTTGTGCACCAAGGAGGGGTGTGCATCCTCCAAAGAGCCAGTGCCATTACGTTACAGTGTGGCACGCCTGTGTGTGTGTGTGTGTGTGTGTGTGTGTGTGCGTGTAGAGACCAGAGGGCAATCACAGATGTCATCCTTTGGGAGCCTTCGCCTTGTGTTTTGAGAAAGGGAGGCTTCTGACCTGGAGCTTATCAAGAAGACAACTCTTGAGTGACTTGCTATCTACTTCCATGGCTCCACCTGCTCCCATCTCCCCCAGCTGCCCTCCTGGATCAGGGTCCCTGGCTTTCACATGTGCTGTGTGGATGAAACTCTGCTTTGCGAATGAGCTCTCTCCAGGCCCTCCATCGTGATTCTGACACCTACCTCTCCCTTTTTTGTGGGCCTCATTGGAAGAAATACCGAAGAAATTGATATTGAATTGGTCCACTATGGGTTGGGAGGGGAAAAGTCTCACCTCATCCCATAAATATGCACCATAAACATTTAAGGAAACTTTCTTAAAACCCACAGAACAGAACCAGAGGGAGGCCCCCAACCTTGAAACAGCTCACTCTATTCCCTCTTTGGAGTTTGATAAATATAAGAACAAACAAAAAGACCCATGACGTTGGAGAGAGGTTTGGTCAGATCTGGGGCAGAGGCAAAGATGAATTGACCAAAATACATTGTTTAAAATCTTCCAAGGGTTAACTGCAATATATATATATTTAATGTGTATGTTTGTGTGTGTTAAAAAGCAGACGGTAGGGGGCTGAAGAGATGGCCCATCGGTTAAGGGCACTGACTACTCTTCCAGAGGTCCTGAGTTCAATTGCCCAGCAACCACATGGTGGCTCACAACCATCTGTAATGGGATCTGATGCCCTCTTGTGGTGTATCTGAAGACAGCTATAGTGTACTCATATAAATAAAATAAATAAAATCTTTTTTTAAAAAGTGGAAGGTTAAAAAAAAAAAGGTAATATGTGTGGTATATATGTACGACCTTTCTGGAAGGATCCGCCCACGAACGTGCAGCAGAAGCCTGAGAGAAAAATGGGTTGGTGATTGGGAAGGAGTATAGACCTTACTGAACCATTTTGAGCTTTTAATATCAAAAATGAATTTTCATTTTGTATTTAAGCAATCGATTTACCCTCAATTATTCCTATCTTTGTCACACGGAGATACTGACTCCGGCCTCTGTAAAATCAGCCACCACTTGAACACTCCACACCCGCAGACACTGGCATTTACAACTCCAATAACAGAACAGGGAAAGGAGTAGGTGGCGCCCGCTGAACCCTCCACACTTACCCGGGCCCCCAGCACATGCTGCCATGGTGACAGACAGACGCCGCGGTCTGCGCAGGTGCACAGGGTTGGCGAACAGGGGGTTGTGTCCGTGGCGGAAGCCAGATGACCTGACCGGAACCTCTGCACCGGTGATGTAAGAGGCGCGCATGCGCACTGCAACTGCAGGGCCTGAAGGGAGAGAAGCGGGGATGCTGGAAAGAGCGGGGTGGGTTGGGGGAGAGGACTGCGGGGCAAGTTGCCCACAATGCAGAGGTTCAGTTCTGTTGCTGAGCCACTCCTTCTAGGGTACTGCGGGCTGCAAAGCGAGAATACATTACGTGACAGCACCAACGGAAGTGGTTCTCGCCCCGCCCTTCAGAGAGTAAGATTTTAAATCACTCTGACTTGTGTGGCAATTATTTTAACCTTAACCAGGACTCCATAGTCTTCTGGATTTCCTCCAGCCCAGCCAGAAAACACTATAGCCCTATTGCTTTATGGTCTTTTCGTTTTCTACTTGTATCTTCACATTTAAACTTACTTCTTTATAAAAATCATAGGTCACACACCTCTCACCTCAAGAGTTTATTACTGAATCAAGTATGAGTGATAATCGTCCTAGAACACCAAATCAGCTGCCCCAAACATTGCATAGTTTAGTGGAGTCTTCGCTGTTTAAGAAAGGTATATATCATGGGATTTTTCAAATACTTTGGTGGAAATATCAGGTATTCAGTTTACAGCAAAGTGAGGGCAAGTTTCAGTTGCTACCCGACGGTTCTTAGGTTTTAGGCTGGTGGTGTGCTAAGTTAACATAGTCCAAAGGTTTCACCTAGTCACAAGGACGTTAGGTCAAGTGACGAAGCTATTAAGGGAGTTAAAACCAGCACAAGATGATATGATGCTTCTAGCTTCAACATTCCAACACTCTACACACTGGAAGTTCTAACTACCAGCCTTGTTAGTAATGAAATTAAGTACTTCGAAGAATACAGGCAGGATTTCTAATGGATTTTTGTTCCTTCTGCAATTAAGATGCTTTTTACCAATGGCTGAGTAAAAATGTTCAGACAGAAGCAATGGACCTTTATAATCCTAAATATAAAGCTACATAATCCAAGTAATTAATATGGTACGACTACACCATGCTACATTTTATGTAAGAAATGTCACTATGAAAATGGTGTGGCCGGGCAGTGGTGGTGCACACCTTTAATCCCAGCACTTGGGAGGCAGAGGCAGGCAGATTTCTGAGTTCGAGGCCAGCCTGGTCTACAGAGTGAGTTCCAGGACAGCCAGGGCTATACAGAAAAACCCTGTCTCGAAAAATCAAAAAAAAAAAAAAAAAAAGAAAAGAAAAAGAAAAAAAGAAAAAAAAGGAAAATGGTGTAGATGGCCCTGGAAAAATTAAAAACTACCACTCACTGTGTATGTAAAGGTGCTGACTGCAATGTTAACTCATAAAAGCAAGACACAAAACCAACCTAAGATCCACCAACAGATGAATAGACAAAATGTAGCACAGGCCTATGATAAAGTTCACGGTTCATATAGGCGGTCCAGTCATTGTAACAAAGATGAAGCTGTCAGAAGTTAGGTGAAGGAGGACAGGTAGGTGCAGGAAGACCGAGGCTGCCTGATTTCACATCTATGCTCACCTAAGAATGCTGACCTGGACCAAAACTGACGATGGTGTTGCTGGGGCAGAGTTGGTGGAGGAAAGGGAGACCCTGGGGAGATGTCAGGACACACCATTTCAGGTAGGAGAGATAAACTCAAGTGTTTTCTCACACAACATACTAATTACAGCAATCCCTGTGTGTTGTGCACTATTAGAAATGGAGAGGAATAAGATCATTGCTGCTATTACCTCCAAATCTTGGGCTGGCACACAAGATCCCTGTTGAATGTATGTGGTGGAATAACAGGGTAGATCTGTGCAGGTGGGGTCTGCACAGTATTTAGGATCATAAAGGTTCCATTGCTTCTGTCTCAACATTTACAACTCAGCCATTGGTAAAAAGCATCTTCATTGCAGATAGGAACAAAAGCTTAACACTGCTAAATTTGCATGTTTCTTTTTGCCGAACTGTGTATAGCTTGAGTCAAACATTTTAAAGCCACTCAACAAAACATTAAACCTAGAATGAGTCAGAAGTTTGTTTTACTTCAAAAAAGTCTTTTAACACTTGAATCATATCAAATTATTCTTTCTATTAAGAAACGTCTATGAAACAACACAGAAACCTAGGTTGTCAGGAACCGATACAACTGTCAAAATAAGACTTTTATTATTCAATCATAAAGTGTGGTATTCAGTCTCTCTACAGCATTCTTGGCGTTTCAGACTTCCAGGCCAAAATGTCCACTGTACTGCCAGCTCCTCCTGAGGTGGACATGGGCATCCTCCAGTCAGTTTCCCACACGCATGCAGTCATTTCTCCACTGCAGCAGTTAAAATGCTCTTGTATGTCCACATCTAGCTCCAAAAAGAAGTAACTTAGTATTCAACTGATGCAACCTGATAATGGTCCTCTTTTGTATGTCGCACACACAGGCACACAGCTTGTTCAATAGATGCATAAAGCAAGATTATAGTCCACCTCATATTTCAAAATGCAGAGAACCCAAGTTGCATTAAAAGTCTTAAGACCATAAACAGAGCATTGTAGACTGACTACAAAGAACCAACCAAGTTCTTTACTAAAATGTCAAATAAAGTGCAAATGTGAACAAAGACTTTGATCAAGCAAGTGTCTACATTCAGAAAAATCCATCTCCAAAGAATGCTGTAGAATGTGCCTCTAACATTTTAGACTACAATTCCAAACTTACTGGTTGTAAACAGTATGAAAACAAATTCAAAGTTACTTTACCACAGAAGATCCTCCCACTATTTGGTAAGTTCAATACTCATAAATTGTGTAGTTACACAAAGTATACAATATACTGAAAAAGAAACAAATTATGTAAACAAAATGAGCTTGATATGCAGTCACCTTTATATCACATCACTTTGTCAGTAATATGTTGTCATTTTATTTCCTATCTGTAACATTTCACATTACTTGTGACTATTCTCCTCAAATATGTCTTTGGCTGGTCCAAGTGGGATTCAGAGTAGACTCACGCAACTGGATCTGTAAGTTGCAATGCTTTATAAATAATCCTTCTTACACGGCTATTTAGTGTGGCTTTCTTGATAGATACAATAGTGTTTTTAATACAAAAAATATACTTCACATAATAAAAAGACATCAAAACAATGATTACATTTTATATAAGTTACATGACAGGTTTTTTTCTTTTCTATTGTTTGAATTAAATAAGAAAGCTCTATCAAAACCTTTAACTTTATGTTAAGTTAAATATTCCATTATAAAAAATAACTAGCATAGAAAGAATTTAAAATATGCAAAAGTAATCAGTTTGTTGAAATTTACACTTCATACACTGATGTCAATCAAGAAACTCCTAAGGACTAACATGGAAATAAAAGAAACCTGATTTAGGCTTCATTTACTGCTACACAATGACTACTTCATGGGTCATCTGGCCTGCTGTCATCTGAAGAGTGTAAAATACAGTGCTGTACTTCGTAAGGAAGGAGAAAGAGAATGCATTGTGATACAAAAATATTACCTATTTATATATTAGCAAAGATTTATAAAACACATTCCAAATCATATGTTGCTATGGAAACAACAGACTTAAATAGAAAAGCACAAAGTCCTGAAGCACCCACAATTATTTTAATCAGAAAAAATTATATATTTATATATATATGCACATATATATAATTTGAGAAGAAATAAAGGCAAAATTCTAATTTTAATCAAACAGAGTTTGCATGTAATCATGGAGGTAGTTCTCCATTCCATTTATACAAATAAGTTATCAGCATTATTCAAAGAATTATAAGTCTAGAATCTTGAAACTGGTCTTCATTACTGAAATACATTTTTAAACAGACTTCGAAACCGGTATTCTCATTAGCATACACAGAAAACAGGTATCTCCTTCATTAAAATCATATATAAAGAGGTATAACTAAGTGCAGATACTTTGGCTTAACATTTAAGTTACACAGTAAATACTATAAATTTTAGGTTAGAAGAAATAGTTCTTTCTTCTTAGTTCTTATACCAAGCATAAAGCTATAAAAATGGTGATTCTTTAAATTTTTCGGTAAATATTGTGCTAATGATTTTTAAAAATCATTCCTACCTAAAAAGCAAAATTATATATTTCAATTATCAAACATTTAGTGTTTGTGGCATTTCAGTTTTAGTGCTGAGATTCATTTTAACAAATCAGTTTGCAACATACAGCACAGTACATTCTTTCACTCAGAAAGGTTTTCTAAAATGAAAAATGCTAACTCTATTTCCAGTGGCACACTCGAGCTGGAGGCCCCGCCGTGGATCACAGGAATCAGAGCGCTGTCGAGATCATTCAGGTAATGCTGCGGCAAAAGCTGGCCTTCACAGCCTGCCTGAAATTCAACCTGGAAGAAAAAGAAATCTTGATAAGGTAACCCTAGAAAATTAGCCCTCTTGTGTTGCTTGGTGGAGGAATATGTAGCATTTTTGAATATTCAACTTAAGGCTATTAGTAAAATAATGTTATTTTCAAAAATATATTCTCCAATATCTTTTATCTCTTTGCTACATAAAGTATAACATTATAAATATTGTCACTATATATTTTAGATTTTCCTTCAACTAAATATATATGTAAATAAGGTCTGAAGCTTTTAAAAATAATTAACAATGCAACTTAACTGCAATCAAAAATGAATTGAAAAATCAACTTACTGTGTTTCAAACTGTTGCAGTAATGTGTTGTGTGAGCTGTACGTGCAGTTGTGTGTATGTGTGCATGTGTGTATGCAGTTGTGCAGCTGCATTCGCCTGTGTGCACAAGTCAAGTCCAGAGGTTTGACTCTGGGTGTCACTAAGGTTTCCACTAAGCCTCCACTTTATTTATACAGCGTCTCTCACTGTTGGCAGCTACAGTGAAAACAGCGAGCCCCAGGGTGGTCTTGTTTCTGTCCCCACAGCAGCAGGGTTACAGGCATACACCTTCATACCCGGCTCTGACATAGTTAACATAGGTCTGGGGATCGACACTCAGGGCTTCGCGCTTGCGCAGCAAGGACTACCTGCTGAGCCTCCTCACAAGCCCTGCAGTGCTATTTGATGTTAAGATTTAATATTACTGATGAAGTTTATATTTTATACATTTAATGATAAGAAAATAGTGCTTACTCAACCAATACTCATGGCGAGTTTCTTTGAAAGGGTCTTACAATGAAGTAATGAAAACAAAACACCTCTTTTTAGTAGGAAACATGAGTAGAACACATCTTGCCGAAGAAGCAAACTAGTATATAAACTCGCATTTAGAAAACCAATTCTAATGAAGAATCTGCCTTGAAAATCTGTACTTAATGTGAAAAGTTACAAAATACACCCAGCAAATATTCACTAGACATTCTTAGGAAGATAAATAGCTTTTCCAAGTACGATCACTGTTAATTAGATAAACTCTGTTAAGTAGAGATGCATATTAAGGTAACACTGCACAGCTTATTGTGCTGAGACTTGTTTGGCTTTGTAAGGGATGGAATAACGCGGTTCCTGACACCGAACAGAGCCAGCAGGGCCTAAAAGAATGGTGATGGTTGTTGCTACAGGCTTAAGACTCATTGTATAATTATGCACATATTTTCATGCTACTTCCTTGATGAAGGTCCTCTCTGCCAAGGCTAATGACTCCAGGATAATCAGAGACAGCATGAGTCCAGGAGGGTGTATCTATGTCTCAGCAAAATGGTAAATGTTGTGACTTTTAAGACAGCTCTTAAGGCTAGGAAAGAATGCTGAAAACATGACTAAAAATATATATAATTTCTTAACTATGCAAAATATAAGGATGCAGTATGAATCGTATAAGGACTTTCACAGATCTAAAGGAACAGCAGCTGCTGCACTAAGGCCAGCTAGCCAGTCAGAAAGATACTAAGAAAGGAGATAAAGAGATTTAGGGAGTGGTGGTCTTAAGGAAAGATCCCACCCAGCTAAGGTTTTTGTTTATGCTTACAAAGGCAGGCAGGGGCTGGAGAGATGGTTCAGCGGTTAAGAGCACTGACTGCCCTTCCAGAGGTTCTGAGTTCAATTCCCAGCAACCACATGGTGTTTTGCAACCATCTGTAATGGAGATCCAAAGCCCTCTTCTGATATGTCTGAAGACAGCAACAACGTGCCCACATACATGAAATAAATAAATAAACTAAAAAAAAAAAAAAAAAAAAACAAAAAACAAAGGCAGGCAGATTCCAAAATTCAAGGTCAGCCTGGAACAGAAGGAGTTTGGAGTTTAGGTCCAGGCTTAGGCATGGTCGCAATGGTAATTTCAGAGTGGGGTCCCACCCAGCTATCTTACTGCCTGTGCTAGCACTTGCAGTCTCTTTCTAAAACAACAAGGAGCTGGAGTCCTGGGATGCTGACTCATGGAATAATCAAAACGGAACCTGGGGTAATGACTGAATTGATATTAAATAAAAGACTGGTCTTTTGATCTACAAGAGCTATCTAGAAAATTTTTAGAATAGCAAGAAAAAGCTGTCTTGAGCAGAAGAGGGGTGGGGAGAGGAGGAGAGAGGGAAGGAGGGAGGGAGGGAAGGAGGGAGGGAAGGAGGGAGGGAGGGAAGGAGGAAAGGAAGGAGGGAGGGAGGGAGGAAGGGAGGGAGGGGGAGCTCAATCTGGAAAGCTATCTCAAGCAGAACATAGGCCATCAGAACACAGTTTGTAACCCTCGATTTGAATTCAAGCCATTTGATTTGTTGCTCCCAGACACCCCTTCTCTCAGGAACCTCTCTCCAAGTCAAGGCTGGTCCTTGGCATTATTGCAACTATCAAACTATCAACAATCAAAAGTTCTATTTGGCTTTAGATACAGCATAGTAGTAAAACACTTGCCTAGCATACACAAGGTCCTGGATTTGATTTGCTGCTAAACTACAAAGATGTGAATAAGACCTGTCTCAGAAATTGCTAACAGAAGGCAGGCTTGGTGGTAGCAGGCCTATTATAATCCAGCTATTCCACAGGCCAAGACAAGAGGATCACAAATACAAGGTTTACCTGGGCTACGGGGTAAATTCAAGCTCAGAGCCTGCCTTGAACTAAAAAATGAAGGGCTAGAAAAAAAGAGCCCTGAGAGGACACATCTGCCTTGCATGTGGGAAGCTGGGGTTCAAGCTTTCAGTGCACACCTGGGGCAGTATGCTGATAGCCATTGAGTGCATACTTGGATGTAAATCTAGTTCTATGGTTATATTCAAGTTTATGTAAAAGTAAAATACTGTCAATAAACTAAATTTTAGTCAAAATTACCAAATGATATTACTTGTTATCCTAATCAACCATGACTACTATACAACCATTAAAAAGAATATGTACTAATATACAATCTCTGATATATTAAAAAAGTACGGCAAATAAAACATTTTGAAGAAATGACACAAGTTTTATTATATGTATACACTTGTTTGTACATGCATAAAAATCACAAGAAATATATAGTATCAATTATATAACTGATCGGGGGAAATATTTAAGGAGAGTCTGGAGATGAAGTTCTGTTTGGGAATTAAGGGTAGCTCTTCTGGGAAGCAGTCACACTGTGGTCTAGAGTCAACATCTCCATGGCCCACCAACTCAGTACTGTACAGCATGACTATTGCTTCCTGCAACGTTGAAGAAATGGTGTGTGTGCGTGTGTATAGTTTTACATCTTTGAGTCATGTAAATCAATTAGAACACATCAAAGCCAATCTACCACACAGGACAGGACTGGATCAGCAGACTATGGTCCCCAGGCCGCCCTGTGTGTAAAACAGTTTCCCTGGATCACAGGCACACTTATCAGTTACAGGAATAGCTTCCCTCTATAGAAGGTGAGTTGTGAGAGAAACCCCTGCAGCCTACATTACCTTTTACAGAAAAGTCTGACTTCAGTTAGAGGCTAATACAGGGAATACATGTGTGCGACAGAGTCTGGCTTCGGGGTGGAAGTGTAGCTCAGTGGTTGAGGACTTGTCTAGCATTAAGGCCTTGGGTTCTATTACTAGCTCCACAAAAAACAAAAGAAAAAAAAAGGAGGCCCCCTTTTCTCAAAGGGTTAGACAAAAGTTTTGGTTTCAGGAGCAGCAACATGGCTCAGTGGACAAGCTTGACAATCTGAGCTGAGTTCCTAGAACTCAATGCCAGGAGGAGAAAACCGACTCCCATGAGTTATTTTTGACTTCCACATATGCATCATGGCACACACGCCCCACATATAAATATATTTATATCAATATAAATCTCAAAAGTATATCACAAGAGTATGTCTTACCATATCAGTGTCAATGGAAACTCTGAGTCCAATTTTGTTCATTCTGTTACTCTTTAGAGTTCTCAGGTTAGGGCACAGGGCAGCACTACAAGCCGTGGCAATCTCTTTTGCAAACTGGTAACTACTTGATAAAATAGATATATCTTGGTCCTTTTGGAAGCAGAACACCTGAAAATCAATCAAATTAGGAAAAAATCATGACTGTGACAAATAAGCTGAATTAAAACAAATAAAAAAGGCAACTACTGCTTTCAATTCAACTTTTAAGAAAATTCCAACATTAGATCTTTGAAATCATCATTTGAGAGCATTCTATATCTTTAGCCTGAATATGTATGATAAAAAAAATTTAAATCAGAGATTACATACTATAGGAGTGGTCCAACTATTTTTGCCTAAAGTTGACTTGTGTCAATGAAATCCTTGTTAATTCAGTTCAGAGCCAACATTATAAGAACGTCTGTATGGAATCCAATCAGACAAAGAAACAATGTTCTGTAGCTGCTATGTCATTCTACACGTATGACAGAAGAACTGGCCACCTGACTGCAGAGAGGACAAAGGGACTCCAGGCTGGGAGGCTATGGACAGTACCTTCATAGTGTCTTATTTCAAAACAGAGAATGTGCCAAAATGGTTTTCCTACATGAGTGATGATTATAAGCTGTTGTCAATAAAATCTTTTATAATAAAATAACAATATAAAAATGCCAATTTAGCCAGGTGTGGTGGTGCACATCTTTGAGCCCAGTACTTGGAAAGCAGAAGCAGGTGGATCTCTGTGAGTTTGAGGCCAGCCTGATCTATAAAGAGAGTAGTACCAGGACTACAAAGAGAAACTCTGTCTCAACAATCCCCCCACCCCCAAGTCAGCAACTATTAGCTGTCAGGAAGTCCTTTCATGTTGAGAGCTTAAAATAAATATATGCAAATTCAAATCTGGGATGTGAGGGATTCTGGGTGGGGATACGTTTCCACATGGAAAGTGAAAGGTGTAATACGCTAATCAGTCACAGGCTGAGTAGGCAGCATTTCCAAGTATACACCATGCACAAACACACACGCGCACATGCACACACACAGACGCCTGTGCACATGAAGCGAAGAGACCTTTTTCTATACCTCAGTGCATTTCACAGTCTTCTCTTCAGTTTCAAAATCTGTTTCCAGTTTTATTTTTTCACTTGGAAATCCTTCTAATGATATTCCATCTACTGAACTGATAACACTATGTAATAAAGCAGAGTATAATACAATTAGTATCATGGTGCTTTCTATGAAATTGATTATTGAATTTGGAAAATGAAATAATAAAGTCCAGGTTTTATATTTAAAGTACCAACAAATATCTCAAATGTATATAAAATAATCACTTATCATGATTCCTTGATTGTGTTATAATCCTTTTGTCCAGTAAATTGTATCTCCTTTTTCATATGTCCAGTTCAAATCTAGCTTTAATATAATTTAGTTTCCTGACAGAAAAGTATCTGACAAATTAAAAAACTATTTTCTGGGGTTACATATGTTACCAGTTTGACAGGGTCTGGCGTATTTTGCAGACAGCTCTGAGGTGGATCCCCAACAGGCCTTTAACACTAGCACTCAGGAGGCTGAAGCAGGAGGAGCTCAAGTTTAAGGCCATCCTGGGCCATATATTGAGTTCATGTCCAACCTAAGCTACATAACAAGACCTTATTTCAAAAATCTATTTTGGAATCATTTCCTTCTTCTTTTTTCTAGAACCTTAATCCATCTCCCAAACTTCAAGGTTATGGGTAACCGAACAGAAGGAGCAACAGTAGTATTGATAAGGCCTTTACTGATTACATCATTAAGTCTTGCTAACATTACAGGGAGTTAACAGAATTCAACAATCAAAAGGAAACCCTTATTTATTTGACAAAAATGTGTACCACATAATATAAAACATATTTTGCCTTTCCTTAGGCCTCATTAATGTTTTAAAATTAGACCCTCCCCAAGTTGATGGTTCATTATGGCTTCCTGCCCAAGAAAACTTACGAGTCTGATTAGTTACATATTTGAATAAATACATACTGTATTAATTAGAATAGAGACGTTAAAGTTAATAGCATAATTCTATATTCATTTATAAAATATGTCATTGTATTTGTACAATGTTATTATCATCCTCCTCCATCAAGTAAGAAATTCCTACCCTTTGTTCTTCCTGTCTTCCGAATCCACCCAACAGATGTCCACATATTCTCTCAGGTCTACTGCATCAACTTTTCCACACTGAATTTTAAAGTCCTTTTGCTCTCGTAAAGCCAGCCGTAAGCCATCCATAGTCTCTGGAGTTATTTGTACCATTAAGCCATCTAGAAATGAGAGTTATGCTTCATATTGTGTTTCCCAAACTTTACAATGTGTGCCCAGTAACAGAATTCACTATTAAAATATTTTTGTTTCAAGATACAAGTTTTAAATATCCTTTGTTAATAATTTAAATAATTAATTTTTTCACTAGGAAAATAAAGCTATTTCATAAAGTTAAGAATTATTATAAGGTTACACAAATAAAGACAGTAAGTTAAGCTTTTTAATCACAGTACAACAAAAATATCATGTTCCATAATTAAGTAGGATTTGTCCTAGGGATGCAAAGATGATCAGGCATATGCAAATCAATAAATAGCATACCAACTGATAGACAAAAATCATGCATTAATAATCTTTCAGAAGAAAACACTGGATAAAATTCAATATCCATTTATGAAAAAATCTCAATAAATTAGGTTTGGAAGGTTTAGAAGGAATATATCTTAAAACAAAAAAGGCAAAATGGGACAAAGCCACAGTGAACACCACAATGAAAGGGGAAAGCTGAGACCATTCTTTTTCAGTACTCTTGGCACACTAGTGTAGTTACCAGACACTAAGTCAGGAGGCTAGAAAGGAATCCAAATAGGGAAGAGGGAAGGAAGTCAAACTGTTCCTGTTTACAAATTGTATGAATCTGGCAAAAATATGTTAAAGCTGAACACAAAATCAAGATATAAAATAAGGAGCATGTTTATATACACAAGAAGCTTGCCGACAAGGAAATTAAGACATCAATCCCTCTCACAACAATAACAGAAAGGAATAAACTTAATGAAGAAACCAGATGATTTCTACAGTAAAAATGTCAAAATACCAATAAAAGACTTGAAGAAAGTATAGACAACTAGAGATTGAAAATAATCCCCATCAAATACCAATGGCATTTTCACACGGACAAGGGAAACAAGCACACAAATTCCCAACCCTAAAACTCTCAGGAGAGCACAAAAGACTCGGAATAGCTAAAACAATCACCCCACACATACCACAAAGCTATAAAACCCCAAGAGCATTAAATACACACACACACACACACACACACACACACACTCACATACACACACACCCTAAAATCCCAGGATAAATTACCCACTTAAGCCACCTGATTATTAACAAAGGTGCCAAAACATTCACTTAGAAAAACAAACAAAGTCTCAATAAATGGTGCTATAAAATAACTATTCATTCACAGTAGGTCCCCCTTCTCACCTTAACCAAAGGCCCAAAGGTAAGATCTGAAAATATGAACCTACTAGAAGAAAATACAGGGGAATTATTTAAAACGTATGCATGACTAGGACTTTCTGTCTGTGTACCCTGTAAGAACTGAAAGCACTGCTGGGTGTGGCTCCTGCCTAGAATCCTAGTACTCAAGAGGCTGAGAAAGAATATACATGCAAAAAGACAACCCAAAGCATAAGTAACAAATGTACATCAAATTAAGCCTCTCCTGAATAACAGAGGGAAGAAGACTGCAGACTAAAACATGCATGGCAAGAGAGACCATTTTTTAGCACTGGGGGTTATTGCCCCAGCACTCTGGAGGCAGATGTGTATCTAACAAGTTTGAGTCTAGCCTGGGCTACAAACTGAAATTTTGTTGTACAAAATCAAAAGCTGGTTAAAAAAAATGACACTTTTCTAAAGAATTTCTAGAAATATCTAAGAAATATTCAGCATCACTACAATCATCATATTTTTCAGTGCATGCCAAGCTAGTGCTCTAGCACTGAGCTACATTTCCAAGCAGAGAAAGAGACTGTACTATACACTGCTGACAGCAAAGCCATATCAAAAATAGCACATGTTGCTCAATGAGCCAAAATTAGAAATGCCTTATGATCCAACTATTCCCATGCTGGGTGGACCTCACATGGAATTAAACAATTAATTAGAGTTAAGCTGGACATGGTGGCAGAGGTCTATGACCCCAACCCTCAGAAGGCACAGGCATGAGGGCTGAGGAGTTGAGCTTAGCCAGAACTACACAGTGATCCCATTCATAGCAACACCCTGTCTGAATGCCCTCTGATGTTCTCCTCCAAAACAAACAACAAAAATACAGAAAAAGAGAGAGAGAGACTTCACATCCTCTTATTTAGCACTGTTCTAAATAGTCACAATGTTAAATCAATATCATGTTTAAATAAAAAATAATGATAATATTAATAATTATTTTTAAATTAATTAAATTAATTAATTAAAAAACATGGTATAGAGAAATAATAGATTAATAATCCAGGAAAAAAAAAACAACCTGAAATCCTGTCATTTACAGCAATGTGGATAGAACTAGAGGTCAGACATTAGATTTAGTGCAAAATCACAGAAGGAAAAACATCACTTGGTTCCAGTTACATGTGGCTGCTATAATAAAAGAATCACTTTAACACAGGAAGGTAAAATGACAGCTCCTACAAGTGGGAGGGTAGAATGGAGGACAGAAGAGGAGACTGGATGACGGCCACCATAACCCAAGTTAAGACCAAGGATGCTTCGTGCTCAGAAAGGCAACTACACTTTACGATTTATCCGTTATAAAGAGCTTGCAGAAGAATCTCAAGGTTGTTAGTTAACACAAAGAAATAACAAGGGTTTAAGCAGATGGAAATGGTAGCTACCCTGACTTGACCACTATACATTCTATATTATGTTCCAAATGATCAAAATACCCTATATAAATATCAACAATTACTATCTGTTACTTTAAATATAAAGAGGGGAATCTACAATATGTAACATATAAACTACAAAACAGGAAAAAAAGCAATCAATGGAAAATAGGCAAAAGTTGTGAATGAGTATCTTACAAAGATAACGCATTCTATAAATATAAGACTGGCTAATGAATAAGAAATATGCCAATAATGACCATATTCAGAAATATCTAAGAAACTGACAAAATTAAGTAGACTAATAATAGCATGTCTGGAGACTCTGTAGACTAGTGAGGAACTTAACAGCCTAAGAGTAACAAGGACTGGTACAATAACTTTGCAAAATAACTTAGAAATGGTCTGTAAAACTGAACATTTACCAATCTAAATGTAATTGGCTCAAGAACTGCAATCCTAGATATATATTAACACTACTGGTTGCCATAAACAACAAACAATCTAGAAGTTCATGGTCAGATGAACAAACTACCACATATTCACAAAATATTTAAAGGCACTGAAATTGAACAAGCAATATGCATAAACTAAAAAGATAAAGTGCATTTGTAAGTAAATTATCATTCTTAATAAGCATAATGAAGTAGCATATTCTGTAAATACCCTATAATATAAGAAAGTAATACACACTGTGGTCAGTCAAGTAGCTGACTCTTGAGAAAGAAGGCTCAAGTAGATCCAGTACTGTCACGCCCTAAGCTTAGAGAGGCTTCACAGAAGTTTGTGCTTCTGACTGTTTTTAACAACTTATATTATTCTTTTATAAGCATCAAATATGTTCTTTGTTTCGTTTTCAGATAAGGTCTCACTATGTAGACCAGCCTAGCCTCAAACTCACAGAAATTCACCACCTCTGCTCTCCAGGTACCACCATACCTGACAATTTCTTTTTCTTATTTTCTTCTTTCCTTTCTTTCTTTTCTTTCTTTCTTTCTTTCTTTCTTTCTTTCTTTCTTTCTTTCTTTCTTTCCTTCCTTCCTTCCTTCCTTCCTTCCTTCCTTCTTTCTTTTTTTCTTTCTTCTTTCTTTTTTAAAATTAATGTATGAGTACTCTATTTGCCTGTACACCTGCATACCAGAAGAGGGCACCAGATCATATTATAGATGGTTGTGAGCCACCATGTGGTTGCTGGGGATTGAACTTAAGACCTCTGGAAGAACAGTCAGTGCTCTTAACTGCTGAGCCATCTCTCCAGCCCTGCAAATATATTTATTAAAGGAAAAGAAAAAATAACTTTATATTAAAACACTCAAATATGAAGCTCATACCTTCAACTATGCTGGATTTGGCAAGAAATCCTGAAGATGTTTTCAGAGCACCATTGAACACCACAAAACTTGCACCTGTCACTGATAACAAATAATAAGTTATATTTTAATCTGTTCATCCTCTGCTGTGTTTATTACTCAAAATGTGGAGTTTCTGCATTTCAAATATTTGATAAATGTTATCTCATAACACATTAAAAATACAATAAAAATCAAAACAAAATTACAATATTGGATAAAATAGTGTTTCAAATGATGGACTACTGTATTACTTAAAACATTTGTGCTTTTGTTAATGAGGGTGTCATGAATCAAATTCACTGTGGGTGAACATAAAATGTATAAATCTCTGTGAGAAGAGTAGTTAAATACTTTCCTGTGTAAGCATCGAGACCAGAGTTAAGATCCCTAGAGCCCATGTCAATCCTGGGTAGGTGTGATAGCCTGCCTGAAGTCTAGCCTTTGAAGACAGAGATAGACTCTCAGATCAAGACAGCCAGCAAGGCTAGCCATATCAACAAGCTCTGAGTTTTACTGAGAAACCCTGTGTGCTGGTGTGAATAGGAATGGGCCCCAAACTCATGCGTGTGAACGGCTGGCCCATAAGGAGTGGTACTATTAGGAGGTGTGGTGGTGGTGGTGGAGTACATATGGCTTTGTTGAAAGAAATGTATCACTTGGGGGGTGGGCTTTGAGGTCTTCTATGTTCAAGCTAGGCCTAATGTGGCAGTCTCCTGTTGCTGCCTACAGATCATGTAGAATTTTCAGCTCCTTCTCAAGTACCATGTCTGCCTGCATGCCACCATGCTTCCTGTCATGATGATAATAGACTAAACCTCTGAAACTGTAAGCCAGCTCCAATGAAATGTTTTCCTTTGTAAGAGTTGTAGAGGTCATGGTGTCTCTTCACAGCAATAAACCCTAACTAAAACATCGTGCTTCCCAAGAGGTCTCCACATGCACACCTTTAGAAAGAATATATTGAGCACTGTGTGGCTCCATCACCTAGCAATTAAAAAGCCATGGCTTACGAAGGAAATAGGAGGTGGAACATCAGAGGCAGAAAGAATTCTGGGATAGAACCAGGTACAGGAGATTCTCCTGGAAAGATGTGAGGAGAGAATGCATGGAACCTGAGCACAGGTAGCCAGCCACGTGGCAGAATGTAGTTTAAAATAAATGGGATATTTTAAATTATATCTAGTCAGAAAAGAGTCCAGATACATGGCCAAGGCATTCAAATCTGAGTCTTAGTTCTGGGAGCATGGGGCTGGGAGGAAGACCCAGCACTAACTTCTATACGCACACACATCACACACACACACACATACACACACACATCACACACATGTACACGTGTATCTACGGACATGCAAAAACATGCTTAAATGCACAAAAAAACACTACGCACAAAAAGTAGAAAAAGGAAAACACAAATATAACTTTTGACAGTAATTTCACCCCTAGAAACAAAACATGCATGTATAAAAGGTTATTCATAACAGCATTTTTATAAGTAGCTGAGGAATGGTAACCAACTATGACAATAAGAGACAGGTAAACGACAGATAATTGCCAAATGGAAAGTTACGGAGTGACTGTTCTACACTAACACAGAATAACCTGAGAGGTGTTAAAAACAACAAAGCAAGGTGCACAATGGAACAAGTGTTACAAGTTATCTGAAAGATGCATCTTGAATGTATGTACATGTATGCCCTTGCCTGAATGTGTATATTATACAAAGTCTCTGGAGAGATATACAAAACAGTAAACTAATTTGTTGCCCTTTAACAGGATGCTTACCTAAGTGGTTAAGGGGATACTTTTTTTTACCAGAGCATAAATACCAATAGTCTTAATCTTACCACAATGTAAATATCTTCTATTAACAATAAATACTTAAAACTCCATAAATTTACAGGCTGTGAAGATGGTTTAGTCAGTAAAGTGCTTGCCATACAGGAATGAAAATATGAGTTCAGAATCCCAGCCCTCATGTAAAAGATTAAATGTGGTGGTCACAACTGTAATCCCAGCAGAGGTAGAAGCAGGAGGATCCTGTAGGCTTCCTAGTTAATAAGTCTAGGTGAACTGGTAGACTCAGATTCAGCAAGACCCTAGCTAAAAAACCAAGGTGGCAGGAGAGTTGAAAATATCGTAACTCTGATCTCCACATGTGCATATGCACACATACACAAACACACATACAGAGCTCTTAAATGTCAGTTAATGGTAAGAAGGAAAGTACAAAAGTATAAAATCAAGTCTAAAACTATCCATTCAACCTATATATTAATAAACAAGAAAATACATTAAAATATCAACAGTGGCCTTATATTGCAAAGGGGTGTGTGTGTGTGTGTGTGTGTGTGTGTGTGTTGCAGGTAGCCTCAGAGACCAGAAGAGGGCAACCAAACTCAGGCTTCTGTAAGAACAGAACATACTCTTAAGTACTGAGCCATCTCTCCAGCCCCTACACTTCTTTTCACTGCTTTTCAAAATGTATTACAGGTGGGTATACGACATCACCTTTACAATTGGAAGAAAAATTATTAACAGTGAGAACATCAGGCTATTTTAATGTTATCCTATAATTATGAACTGCTTAGCTTTCACTCAACTTTCAATTTGTCAGGCTGTTCACCACAGAATGAATGGCAGCAGCCAGACCTGAAGCTAATGTCCAAGAGGCTGCTCACTCTACCATTTCATCATTTCTCCATCCACGGTCTCTTGGCATTATAGTTCTTTACCCTTGTCAACCTCTGTGCCCTCCCAACTGAATAAATAAATGTGAAAACATCTCACTCCATAGAGAACCTACTGAAAAGGTTCTCACACAATGGGATACACTAAAGGTGCCAAAAAGAACAGACTTCCAAATCTTTACATCTAATGTAGTCAGAAATAAAAACACGAAATAGAGGCAATTTTCATCCTATTATTTATGCAAGCTCAAATGTTAAGCATACCATCCATCATTAATTCAGCAAATAGGTAACGGGTATCTGTTTCTCTTTTGAGGGCCTCTTGTGAGGGTATCTTAACTTACCTTTCCTTGTTTGCCCAGTGGCACTGTTGGCCTGAGTCTGATAAACCCCATCACTCTGTACACAGACCAGATGAGAATCTGCTTCTGTACTAAAACTAGCTCCAATACTGATGACATGTTCATTAGAAGAATTGATTACCTTCATTACCTGAGGGGGGAAAACACCACATTTGTTAAAAAAAAAATTATGTCTAGTCTAGAAGTGTTATTACTGATTAGCTTCATAATTATCAAGCTTTAATCTGAACAACTCCTTGAGAATTTAACAAAGACAGACTGACAGGCACGTACGTATGTATGTACGTATGTCTGTATGTACATACATATATATATATTATATGTATAATATATATATGTAGGCAGGTATACAGGCAGAAAGTAAAATCTCTATTAATAAATAAAGTAATTTTAAAAGGATTAAAAAATCGGGTCAAATTCTCTATTAACAAATTTTAAAAATATAAAAACATTGTTACGAATTATATATCCAGATTCAAAACAAACAAACAAACAAATTTCAGTCTCAGGGACGCCTCTGCTCACGTGTCTTTAGATCTGGACAGCACAAGTACACTTACATCGCTGTACTTTTTCCGAGGTATTTTTATACAGCTTTTTCCCATTTCCATATGAATCAACAGCTGATCGATGTTATGCAATGTATACTGGTAATTTCGAAGATCCTACATAAAATGATCAAAGTTCCATCAACATTTATCCATCCACTAAATGCTTCCATCAGCATCTACAGTTTAAGTCTTCTGACACAGTCCTATCAAAATGCTACACAGAAGGATAGTCCCAACTTGAAAAACAAAACACTCTCCCCAAGAAAATCCCACAAACTAATTTTTCCAACTACTTCTCAAAAGTGATGAAGAATATTCTCAGAGAGAAGTTTACAGTGTGTGGAGACTACTCTCCTTTCCTGTTATAGCTTTCCCAAAACAGAAGTCATTTCTGCATAAGTGTCCCCCAAGAGCTCCCATATTAAGGGCGTAGTCACTTTCAGTGCTCCCTGGGATGAGATGGGATGTCGAGGAGGTAAGGCTACCCTTGAAGGGACTATTAGATTCCAGACCCTTTCAGTCTCTGCTTCCAAGCACTATGGGATGAGTGGCATCCCCCACCAAGCTGTCCCTCCAAACGTTGCCACAGCCTAAAACAACAGAGCCACATGACCCTGACCTGAATCTCCTGAAGTCACGGCAACAGAACACTAATCTCTAACAAGATTATCTCCCATGTTTTAAAAAAGTAACGGAAAACTGAGAGGCTTCCAGCTGGCTGCTGATGGGAATCTGAAAGTAGGTCTACTAAAACTTTCATACAGTAACAAGCAAACAGAATGACAACGGTATGGGAGGAAGAGAATCTCAGAGATCACCTTATCCATGCTTTCCTACGACAAATGAAGACACCATAATTTGTTCAAAATCACAAAGCTGATTTACTTTACTAACACTTTATTCAGCTTTGTCAATTTCAGAGGTTTGTGAGGAAGTCTCAATTACCTCAATATGCAAGAACAAAACAGTCCAGGGAACCAAAAGGCTATCAGAATTAAGGAATACATACATTAGGAGACACAGTATTCTAAAAGGCAGAGCTCATTCATGTTAAGTGGTTTCGGACTTACAAATGTGCCTTCAAATACCAAATACTCCAAATTAAAATGGACAAATAAAGTAGGTGAAAGATACTAAATAAACACTTGAAGAAACTGTATGTCAGACAACACAAGAGTCCAGTTACTTACAACAAGTAAGTTCATAATAGTATGGCCTATTTCTCCAAAAAGAGGTTTCCTGCCTCTGACACTTGTTAGAGGAGCAGGGTACACTGCACATGAAAAAGAATAATTGGTTATTATCAACAATAACACAAACTTCAAAGGTTATTAGTTTTATTTTCTTTTTTCAAACAAAAAGTACATATATACTCAGTCAGTTACCAAAGAAAAGGAAAAGATGCCTATGCATCTGCTAGACACACTAGCTGGAAACCTTACATAGACTGTCTTATGTAAATCCTGTAACAAGCAAGGGTAGTATACCTGCTTATAGATAAAAAATCAAAACAAAGATAAACAAACTCGCTCACTTAACTGTTAAAAAGATTCGAAGCTGGGCTTTTCTGACTCCGGAGCATTTAATTTTTTTAATCTTACTTCTATAAAATCCCCAATGGGAAAGAAAAATTACAATAACTGATTCAATCCCTGTAAAGCTTTTCTAATTTAAAGAGAAAAAAAAAACCTTAGCATTTTGGTCTTTTCTTTTGTGGTGCTGGGGATTGAACCGGGGCCTTGTACATGTGAGGTAAGCAGTATGTATGTAAGTGAACTATAACCATAGTCTCCAAATTCAAGACTTTAAAGACTTAACATTAAGTTTTAGTAATTAAAAAATGGTAATTAAAAAATTAAATTCTGACTTTGATAGGGCTCCCTACGTATTTAAGACAAATACTTGATTCTATTATGAAAAAAATTAACTTTAATCTCATATTTTGTGTGTAATCCTGAGAATTTACAGAATTTTACTTTGAGCCAGTGTTTTCTTTATCCAGCCCAGTGTTTTGTTGCTGATAATAAAATCTGAATGCTGTTTTTATTGACGATTAGGACAGTATACTAGCTAGTCATCAGTCACTGTAAGGCATATACTCCATAGGTGTGGCCAGTAGCTCCAACAGAAGCACTAAAAACAGACTGGTTTTCTTACAGTGAAGCTCAGAAGGTCATGGAGTAAGGAGGGTCTTTCAGAAGCATGCAGGATTCAAACTGCAAAGCTGTGTACTAACAGTGTCGGGACACTACATCAGTGGACACTACCGAGCCTCAGCAACGGCCTATATCTGTTACAGTCTGCTCACCTAAGACAGACTGACACTGAAGGCAGAGATGCTCATGCTGGTTACATAGAACTTGGATTTTTTTATGGAATTTATGGGACATTTAATGACAAAAGTTAAAGTCCCAAGATTCTGGATAAAAATAGCTTTCTCGGATCAGTGACCACCGTTTATACATCATTAGTCATAAGACTATAATATGGAGGCTACATCATTCTAAGCCACAGCCTGTTCAGTGTCTTAAGTAAGATTACCTCTAACCATTTTCAAGGGATGCTCATGACTCATAAAAAGATGAGGTTAGAAACTCGGCATTTACACTGATCACATCCTTTATAGTTTTCTTGACTTTTAACACTAATTGTGTTTCTACCAGTCTTAGACATCTTTCACAAGTGTGCATTCTGAAATAGAAGTAACTTTTATTTTTCCCAACACTAATTTTGTCTCTAAAATAATACATACTAAATTATTTAAATCAAGTTCCTCATAGTTAAATACAATTTGCTGCAGGTATAACAAAAAAAACATATATATATATATATATATATGCACACACACACACACACACACACACACACACACACACTTTTTTAAAAGCCAGGAATAAAGGTACAGAGTAATTTTTAAAGTGTAGCATTAGAAACAGTTTTGAAATGACAAAAACAATCATATATAAAAGTCTGACCATTTATGATAGTGCTAGAATCTTAATCTATGTCTAAAGTAGGCATGTAAACACACACGCAAACATGTATGTATTTTATAGTACTTCTGAGTAATTAGGTAAACATCAGGAACATAAAAGTTAAAATGAGGAAGGTAAAAGTAAGGAAATGACAGTCAGCTCTCGAGACGTCGTCAAGCCTTGACTTCATCAGCAAGTGTTACGACAGTGCTACACCTAAGAATCACTTGTCTGTGTGTAAGCAGGGGGACACTAGATGCCTACTATGTAGTTAAACACAACTAACTAATAATACACAATTTTAAGAAGACTTTAACAAAGGTAATAATGTGAAGAACGTTGTTTTGCTTTGAAAGAATCAAGCATGGTGGTGCTAGCCTGTAGTCTCTCTCCAAAAGTGAAGCAGGAGGATCAGGAGCCCGAGGTCATCTCATCAGCTTCACAGTAAGTTTAAGGGCTGAGAGTGACTTCTGTTATGAGACCCTGTCTCAAAAAAATTAAATTTTAAGTTAAGTTACATAATTTATGAGCATCCTAATAGCTCATGAAACAGCATCTTTGTCACACTAACTTGGTATAAGAGGGCTGTCTTGGAAATTTAAAAATAAACCAAATCAAAAGTAGTTCTATTAATCTAGTAAAAATTACTTGAATGATTTCCCTGAATCTACTGCTTTATCTTCAGTATATTTGAAAATCCAACATTATTTTCAGACTTACCTTTGTATTCTGCTCCCAATCTCAACATTAACCGCATAGGAAAAACCTTTGCCCAGGGAATCTCCAGCTTCTGGATAAGAATGCCACAGAGAAAAGGCTTCCTTGGTACTGGGAGATCATCAAGTTTCTGAAAGGTAGGTGTGATAAACAGGAACCCTCCATGATCCTTGCTATTGAGAAAACTCTCAGTAAAGGTCAGATTGTCCAAGTTTTCTATGTACTTTCCTGAAATAATATTATTAATAAAAATATTTTAAGTTGTTATATTATTATTTTGATGAAACATTCTGAGTCTGAATGTCCCAATACACATTTTCTTAAGTAAAAGCAATACAAAGATCTTTGTTGTTCTTGTTGTATTTCTACTCTTAAAGAAGCCTCTATTTGGACTGGTAGAATAATATCTCTCAAGAATGCCTAAGGCCCTAGGTTCACTTCATGGCACCCCAAAAGCATTAAAAAGGAAGTGGTAGCTGAGCCACTCCTGGATATTGGGTTGAGGACTATAACAAAAATTTGAAAATGTTTCCAGCTACATAGTATCTTAATTTTTTTCTCTTTTGTGCATGGCAATAAGAAAAATTACTCCCCTCTCCAATGCAATATAGATAAGTACATTGATACATCTAGAAAACCAAGGAGGCAAAGGTATTTCCACTTATAAAATCTAAAAAAATACTACATACAGACATTCATCACATCAAAGTCTAGATTTAAAGAACTCAATGGTGACAAAGCTCATTGTAGAGACATCAATCTCCTCATGAAATACATCTTCAGTACAACCAGCAGAGCTGAGATACAAACGCCTTTAACTAGCTTTCTACTCCTAACCTCAGTAGTTCAAAATAAAACAGTAGTAAAGTGATATACCTTTCAAAGCATCCTTGTATATGGTGATGAACAGTCTAAAGACGTCCTTAGGAACTGTATCCTCATTTGGCAAACACAGCAACAGGATGATGATTTCTGCCTGTCCCAAGCCATGCAGCCCATTGGTTGAGAAGTACCAATACTTATCTGAGGAATCTTGAGGAATAATGACATATAACTATAAGTGTCAATTTTTATTAATTTGAAAGCTAAACATTGCTTTTACATAAAGCACAATTTACTCAATTTTTAAATTCTCTTGATTAAGAACCTTGAAGAGTTTAGGATTCATGTACGAAAAACCCAGAGATTACCACAGGAGACAAGCAGTATCAGTTAAACACCCGGGAGGAAAGGGTGCACTGTCATGCTGCAGGGAAAGCAGCGCCTGCAGAGCGGCGTTTGTTTCAGAGAGGGGGAAAACAATGAATGTGTTACTGGACAGTAAAGATTATTTATGATTGAGGATGACTTATTTCCTTAATTTACTTTAATCAGGTCACATCACTGACCCAGCATTTGAGAAGCAGATTAGGGAAGGCTGCCACAGATTTGAGGACTGCCTGATCTACATAGTGAGGTTCAGGCCAGCCAGGGATATGCATTGAGTCCTTGTGTCAAAAAGAAAAAAGAAAAAAGAAAAGAAAAAGAAAGAGGAAAAAGTCCTTTATTGCTAACCAAATCATGATTCCATTTACCATAGTTCAATTTATCTAAAAGGTATGACCGATAACAGGCAGTTATACACTAAGCATCAAAATGTGCTTCAACTGGACTGAGAAGGCAGTCTAGCAGCAGAATGCTTAGCCCCCATACATGAACACCTAGGTTGAATCCCCAAGGGAGAGAGAAGGAAGGGAAGAGGTATGGAGAGGGGGGAGAAGCAGGGAGAGAGAGAAAGAAAATGAACAAAACAAAACCACCTGAGCTAAGCTGAGCATGCTGCAATCCCAGCATTCCACAGGTGGAGGCTGGAGAACCTCAAGTCTGAGGCCAATCGCTGTTCTGTCTAGAATCATGTAGTCACATTTGGCTGCTTATTTTTCACTATTTGTCAATCAAAATGTAACATGAAGATATAATCACTTTAGATATCTTTACTGAAAAATAACTAGAAAAAGTAACTCTCTACTTACAAAATACCAACTTGACATTCACAAGTAGGTTTGCATTTAGGACAAATGTGGCATGAGGAAATCCTTCACCTTCAAGAAGCAAAATGATCTGCTCATGAGACGGATGCTCCTGTATTACAGGCACTAGACAGCAGAAAGACAGTAATCAGGACAAATAGCCTCTCACATATACTTGCAATTTAAAAAAAAATGTGTAAATCTATCAAAAGAATCGAAAACAAAACCAAACATGTTCTTGAAACCAATTCCCACTCTGTTCAATTTTTACCCTTTATCTGTTCATTTTTACCCTTCTACCCACTAAACACCTAATGAATACACAAAACTCTGATGTGTGTGTGTGTGTGTACACATTCAATTACCATTTTTGTATAAAAGTTTTGTACTTCTCAAGTTTTAAAACAAACGCTTATCAAAAGTGGATTCTAGGGCCTGCAAAATGGCTCAGTGGGTTAAATAACTTGTTTTGCAAGTTTCCTTTCCTAGAACCTACTGTAGAAGGAAACAGCCCAGCCCCTAAAGCTGTCCTCAGCCCTCCACACATATGCTGTGGCATACGCCTGCACTCCCACACATCATACGTACATTAAAGTGGATTCTAATTTCTGAAGAGAGTGTACATTCAAGTCTCCTCTGATGCTTTGCTACCATATACATATCAGCGACATGTAGCCACAGCAAAACAAAACTTGACAACCAATCAGAAAAATATGCATGATATTCCAAGAACAGAGCTTAAAAACACCTTCTCTCTAAAGGTAACCTCACAAAATGTCTCCTACAGGCAACAGAGTAATAAGCTTCTTTTCTCTACGTTGACATGCAAACAACAACCCATGTAGTTTCAAGTAGAACAACGCTTGAGGCAACAGGCAACTGTCAGAGGTGGGAGGGACTTGGAGGAGGAAGTCAGTCACAGTAGCCCAGCTCATCTGCTTTCTCTTTTTACAAAGAAGTAGAGACCCAATGAGATCATACATGAAATAAGTTTAAAGTCATACATGAAATAAGTAGCAGATGATGAGCTAAAATTCCAGGTTTTGTCATTGAATTTAATGCTACTTCTTTGGGAATCATGCTTCTTTAAAAAAAAAATACAAAAGCTAGAGTTAAAACTCAAAAATAGAAACATTTCTGATCAGTTTCCTCATTGTGTTAGACTTTAATTCATCCTAAATCAGAGACCTACATGCAATAAATGACTCAAAAATTGAAATCACTTTGGATTTGTTTTGTACAAATTAAGACTTTCTATAAGCTAAATTTATCACCCCTTATATATAGCATAACAAAAATGTTTAAGTTTTAAAAATACATTTTATATACTAGAGACAAATTCCTAAGTTCTCTTTTAAAAGTTCCTTTCCTTAGAGAAGATTAATGGTAGCTCACACCTGCCCTCTCACCGGCCTGCTCTATACAAGTCCCATGGTAGCACATAGCTGCATACATCTTGTCTTAAAAATTCCAAACTAAGGATTCTTTTTCAATTTTAAGTAGCCACTACCCTACCTGTTCCATCTTCTCCAGATGTGGCCACAAGGGGAGGCAACCCAATGTCATCATCTGGTAGAAGACTAATGTTATTACAGACACATTTGGCAACACCACACAATAACTTGTAGTCTGAAATGCTAGCAACAGGCAAAGCAGTATTAGCAGGGACAACCGTAGGAGTAGATGGCTCCTCACTGTCCACAAAAACATCATCTTCTAGTGTGAAAGGGCCGGGCATGGGCAAGCCTTCAGTGCCTGTGGTCCCAGGTACAGCATGATGAATTAGACTCTGGGTCATCTCACTTCTTAGAGTGTCTCCTACACCACTGTTTGGTTTTTCCACTGTAGGAGAATGGGTATGATCCACTTTATTTATCATCTGTAAAATATAGAATAAAAAATTAAATCAGTCCATAGTCTCTGTTCAAGAGTGACATGTTAACATCCATAACCAAAAATATTTTAGCAAAAATAAAAGAGACCAATATAGGTTTCTAAAGTTCATTTCCCATAAAAGAAAGGCCATTTTGTTTCTTTAAATTCAGGGTATACCACATCAAGAAGCACAAAGGTTTAGTTAATGACTATGTCTACTACCATTACAGAAGGAGGGCTGCAAAGGAGTGGCTGGGAAGCAGAGTAGAGAGAGTCCACAGTAGCAACCACCTGGAAAAAGCTACCACCAAGTCATCTTCGTTAAAGCCTCTTTCAGACTGTCCAAAATAAATCTTAAGGGGGAAGAAGTCATGACAATGAATGTATTTATTGGTCTGTTTTTTTGGAACAGTGACTGAGAGTAGGTGTGAGCTAAGGACTATGCCACCTTTCCAAATTCCACCTATCTACAAAATCTACTCAACAACCTTCACTTGCAGGTGGTATACAGATCACATGACTTCCACTTACACCTGGTACAGCTGTATAAATGCAACCATAAATATCACCAATAAATACTTTCCTGAATGTATAGAAACCATTAAGTTAATATTAATCTAAATTAAGTTATGATTCTCAAGTTGCAGTCTAGGGAATGCTGAAGTCCACGACATCCTTTCAGAGGGACAATGAGGTCCTAGATTTTCTTCATAAAATCAATAGACTATATCACAACACACTACATGAGGAAGCAAAACAATGCCACTCTCTACTGACTCAAGTGATCTGGTTTTAAAATATTATCAATTGGCTTATATATTATATAGTTTATAAAATAGTTTTACTTTTTAAAACTCAAATTCATTCATTCATTCATTCATTCATTCAATCATTCATTTATTATGCTCTGCTGTATGTACCCCTGAATGCCAAAAGAGGACATCAGATGCCCTTGTAGATGGTTGTGAGCCACCATGTGAACTTAAGACCTCTGGAAGAGCAGCCAGGCCTCTTAACTGCTGAGCTATCTTACCAGCCGCTATTATTTTAATTAATAAATATTTTGAAGTTTTTCTATCTTAGTTTTAAAAACAGTAATTATAAATACATGTAACCCACATAACCCATACTTTGGGGCTCTCTACAACATTTAAAGCTTATGAAGAGCTTCTAAGGTTTCTGTTTTAAAATTGAGAATCAATGCCTAAAACTAACATTTAAAGGGGTAAAAGTCAGGGTCTGGAGAGGTGGCTCAGAAGTTAGGAGCACTGACTGCTCTTTCAGAGGTCCTGAGTTCAATTCCCAGCACCCACATGGTGGCTCACAACCATCTGTAATAGGATCTTATGCCCTCTTCTGGTGTCTAAAAGGGTAAAAACCAGGACTGGAAAGATAGCCCACAACTATGAGTGCTTACTGATCTTACAGAAGAGCAGAGTTTGAGCCTGGCGGTGGTGGCACACGCCTTTAATCCCAGCACTTGGGAGGCAGAGGCAGATGGATTTCTGAGTTCATGGCCAGCCTGGTCTACAGAGTGAGTTCCAGGATAGCCAGGGCTATACAGAGAAACCCTGTCTCGAAAAAAAACAAACAAACAAAAAAACAAAAACAAAACAAAAAAAGAAGACCAGAGTTTGATTACCAACACCCACAGCAGGCTCCAGTTACCGGGAATCCAACCCCCTCCTCTGGCTTCTATGGGTATCTACACATACACATATACAACACCCACAGAGACAGACACACATACACATATAAAACTAAAATAAGTCTTTTATTTAAAAAAATAAATAAAATCTATTAACAATGTTAATCCAAGCATATCTCAGATCCTGGGGACCCAGGCTCAGTAAGAGTACATAAAACCTATGTTTACATCATAGCATAACTTATAAAGTGGGCAATAGCACTATATCTAAAGAAAAGTTCAGGCCGGGCAGTGGTGGCACATGCCTTTAATCCCAGCACTTGGGAGGCAGAGGCAGATGGATTTCTGAGTTCGAGGCCAGCCTGGTCTACAGAGTGAGTTCCAGGACAGCCCGGGCTATAAAGAGAAACCCTGTCTCGAAAAACTTAAAAAAAAAAAAAAGAAAGAAAAGTTCATACCTTTATTAAAAACACTTTATTACTAAAAACAGCTAACGGCCATTTTGAGCAGTTGGAAAAAAAAAAAAGAAAGAAAAGTTCATACCTTTATTAAAAACACTTTATTACTAAAAACAGCTAACGGCCATTTTGAGCAGTTGGAAAGCTGCGGCCGACAGACCTGCTGCATCAGCACTTCCACAGCCTTAAACTCAGAAACAGTATAGTTTGCAAAGTGCCGTAAGGGAAGCAAAATATGCATATACATTTTTTTCTAGGCAAATCAAGGCATGCAAAGGATAAGCACACTAATAATCCCATGAGGAGTTATGAGTTAACAAGTGTTATTTAGATCCCTTACTGTGGGCGCATCAGGCAAGACAGGACTAAAGTCATCCGAGCATCGTTTGCTTCCAGACGATAACTTTGTAGTGTCTGCAACTTCACCATTCGGCAGTATGCCGTCTGCAAACCATACTCTCTTCTGTTCTCTGGAACATGGTCCTAAGACGAGTTGGAAAAGTGAGTTGGGTTATTTGGCAATACAGCAGGATTATAACACCAAATAGGTTGGTTAATGTTTTAAGAATCCTTCTGCTATTCACCCAGAAGTCCTATATTCTCAGAGAAGCCTAGGAAAATGGCTTCTCTAATTCATATATCCTGAGAAGAGTCCATGCCTATCTAGTCCACACCAAGAGAGGGCACCACAACAGTTGTGGCCATAGGAGTCCATACTCTGAAAGGAAAGGAGACTCTTATACCTTATGGACTGTGGGGAAGATACAAGGCCTCTGTTACTGAGGCGAAGTCTCTATGGAGCAGCGTGGTAAGCCAGCTTTCCACTGCTAAAACAAACCATGAAGAAAATGAATGACTCCAGAGTTTCTGAGGTTTCAGTCCAAGGTGGCTTATCTCCATTTCCATGGCTTGTTACAGGTAGCCATGGTGAGGAAGATGGAGCAGGGCAGAGCTGCTCACCTCAGGGCGTCCCGGAAGCGAGGAAACAATAAGAAAAAAATGACAATATAGACACTTTCCAGGACACACCCCAAGGGCCTACTTCCTCCAGTAAACCCACCTTCTAGTTTCCACCCCTCACAAAAGGTCTTGGGATTATAAAGCCAACAACAGATTAACTCACTGATTAGTCCAAAACCTTAGACATCCAGTCACTTCCCTAAAGCCTCATTTGTGAACAATGTACTAGGGACCAAGCCTTCCACACACCAGCCTTCGGGGGACACGTTAGAGTCAAATCATAACAAGCAGGTACTGAACACACCTCAAGGGCTGAGTAAGGACAGGGATGAAGAACAAGGTCTAGAAGATAAGTGAAGAAAATCACACAGATAACAGAAAGAAGTAAGTCTGGAAAAAGTGTGAAACTGGATCACTTATGTATTCAAGAGGTCTTTTTGTATTTTCATTTAATATACATACAGCAACACTGTAGTTCTTATAATACGGGTCATAAACTTACTAATATATATTACCATTTCCTCTCAAATATGGAGGAAATATTTGTTTAAAAATAGGAAGACTTATTTTGTTGCTGTTGTTGTTAAAACAAAAGTTACAAGAATTAAAATTAGATAATTTTAGAACAACATAAAAACATAAGAAGTTTCATGTATAATTTTTAGAATGGAGAAAATAATGGAAAAAGTTGGAATTAAGTACATGTATTTGTAACATGAGTGGGTATATTAAACAAGGTACCTTTCTTTCATTTACAATAGTCTGATAATAATTTAGATCATTCAAGAACATACAAATCACTTTAGACACAAACTTATTATCTTTAGGGTTAAAATACACAATTTCATTAGTATGTCTCCACAGATATGATTATAAATAGAAAAGCCACTGAGCGATAATCTAAGTACCCCCCCAACCCAACTGTCAGAAGAATCAAATGTATCTTTAACTGATATTTATAGGTATTTTCTAAATGTCACAGCCTTTGCTTCCAAATAATGTCTGTAAATATATACTGGCCTTGTATGAGACTGATAAGAACTACAGACTAGAACAAACTAGCAGAAAATTCCAACATTTAAAATAGATGTTTCGGTAGTGCATGTCTGTAATCAATGACTCATGATAGGTTACTTGAGTTCAGAAGCTTGGACTAGCTTGAGTCTTAAAAACAAAAGACAGATAAATAAATAATAGTTTGTTATTGTTGTAAAACACACAATTAAAGAAAAGTTTTTAAACAAAGTTATTTACTGGTTATTACTAGAACCCAGGCCCCTAGTCTATACTGAGCTCTTGAATCCTAGGCTGGAAGTCCGGAAAGTACAAATTCTAACCTTGTCTTCTTGCTAGCTGGCTGTGGTCAGAACATGCTAGGGGTAGGGACTGGTGGGAAAGGGAGGCCAAAACGTAGAAAGGGATGGGATTCTTTGTGCCCCAACTCCTGCAAGGAATCCTGCAGCAGCAGCAGCAGCAGCAGCAGTTATGCTGCAAGTCCCATGACTTTCAGTACTCCTAATATCAAATCTAGAACTCTCCCTCAGTCACCTGAGCACCATCTGTAAGACTCCTTGATGCTTCCAGTAATTGCCATATGGCATTTTCCCAGAGGCCACAGCTTTAGTCATATGGTGCTTTAGCCCCCAATGCTCAGGTCTGAGAGCTAAGCACCACCAGGCACTCCTCTCTGATGCTAGTACTGCCTTCTCCCCTTCCATCCCCCTGGTCCTAGCGATGGTAGCTGCTCCCTGCAGTTTTGAGTCTGAGACTCCTAAGCACGTTTCCGGTCTCCATCATGCATGTATAACCAATTCCTTGCGGAAATCCCCCGACATATAATTGGTTTCTCTCTTCTGTTTGGATCCTGACTACAAGAGTATTTCTACTTAAAGAACGTATTCTTGGTGTAAACCACAGCAGTTTACTCTGGTTACCTTCAACATTTGGTTGCTTCAGTGCTGAGATGGGCAAAGTTGTAGGTGAAGGTGTACTGGATGTCTGGGCCTCCTGAAGTGGCTGGGCAGTGGCACAGTCATTAGAATGATTAGACTTAAGACAAGAACCACCTGGACTCATCATCCTTTCAAATGCCTGAGCTATAAAGGGAAAGAATAGTATTAACAACTCATGGTTTTGAACTTCCTAGTAATCTATAATAAATATTTGATTTTTCAAGTTACAAGGAGAAAGAAGTAAGTGAAGTAAATCAAGAGAAAGTGGCACTTGGCAAAGATGTCCGAGTGACTAGTATTTAGTTGGCAGCACTCCACTCTGATAAGCTATACTTGAGTTATTTCAGTATTTTTAGTTGTTGTATATGTGATATCCACTATAGAAAATCATCTTTATTGAATACAAGTGTCTGGTTTTTTCCTTTTACTCCTAGATCTACTAGCAACATACTCCAGAGTACATCTTTAAGACCTAAATGATTATTTCCTTAATCCTCATTTTAAAGCCATTTAAAAAAAGGGCTTTGTTTGTCTGTTTGTTTGTTTGTTTGTTTTGGAGGGCTGTTTGCTTGTTTTGAGACAAGGTCTCTCTGAATAGTCTTGGCTGTCCTAGAACTTACTCTGTAGACCAGGCTGGCTTTGAACTTAGAGATCTGCCTACCTCTGCCTCCCAAGAGCTGGGGCTAAAGGTGTGCATCAGCACCTCAGCTTTTATGTTCTCTGGCTTTCTAACTAGAGTAAAACGCTAAGTTAGGCTCTTCATCCCCAGTCTCATCTCTCAGTACAATCCACTGACTCACTAGGAGCAGCGACCTGAGCCTCTGGGCTTCAAGCTAAGCAAATCCAGCTTATGTTGTCTGCTCTTCCCTCTGCCTAGAATGCTCTCTCCATAGGTTCTCACAGACTAGCTATTTCTTTCAAGTCCCTAGTCACATATCATATTATCATAAAGCATTCTTATGGCCACTGATCTGTTTCTATCTATCTTTGTACATTTGAACTTTAAATTTGGGGTAGTATTACCATCTGATGGCCTGTTTACTATCCATTTATCTCCACATTCAAAAATTCCACTGGCAACAAAACATCTATTTTGTTGTCAGCTGGAGCTCCAAATTACAGAATAGTTCCTAAATATCATTGAATAATACTTCAATAAGAAAAAGGAATAGTCCTGGCAACAGTATCTTCAGCACTTCTCCAAACTCAATGACCGTAAGTTCTATTACTGCTACAATCTTCTTTTTTTTTCTTTTACTTTTTTTTTTTTGTTTGTTTGTTTGTTTTTTGAGACAGGGTTTATCTTGTAGCCCTGGCTATCCTGGAACTCACTCTGTAGACCAGGCTGGCCTCGAACTCGGAAATCCGCCTGTCTCTGCCTCCCAAGTGCTGGGATTAAAGGCGTGCACCACCACCACCCGGCTACAATCTTCTTTAATATTCCAAAATAGCAGTGTTCTGAGAAACTACTCCACTAGGTAGGAAAACCCACATCCAGGTTCACACTCTGGATCCAATCTACCTGACAGCACTCACACGCTGCTAAAGCTCACGCAATTCCAGCAGCTTTCTCAACACCCACAATCTCTACTCATCTTTTCTTCCATCCCTTTACTGAACGCATCTCACAACCTTTGAGTCAACGTTTTCATGTCTAACAATATTGTTAACATGATCACTTCAGTCAGGTTCTAGCCTATAGTTGGTGTTTTCTTTAATAATCATTGATAGCTCCCTAAAAGAAACAGGTTACCTAATAAATTCACTCCACAGCACATTCGTGTGTGTGTGTGTGTGTGTGTGTGTGTGTATGTGTGTGTGTGTTGATGGGAATTAAATTTGTGGTCTTGTACTTGCTAGGCAAGCACTCTACCGTTGAGTAACATTTCCATTCTTCTACATTGTATCTTTGAGAGACCAAACTTTCATCTCAGTATTCTATAAGTCTCTTTACTGAGCATATTCTCCTCTCTCTCAGACTCTATAGTTAGAATGTCTCTCTCAAAATTTGACCTATCAACTCTAACAATCACAGCTTTTTAAGTAGGAACTTTTAGGTGGGAACTTATTCTAAAAATTGGATTCTAGCAACTGCTTGGGCTAATAGCTACAGAAACAGTGCAAAAAGAAAAACAATTATAAGCATGTAGCTTCTTCATAAACAATGGTGATAACATAAAAATATTTTAAAAATTATATTCTATTATCTTCCAGAGTATAGGTCAAGAGCAGGGAGTAGAACAGCTTACCTCAGGCTAACAGACTCAAGTCAGAGCTTTTTGGAGAATTGCGGAAAAAATTTATCTTCATTCAAAAGAGAAAAACAAATTATTATCAGGTATTTATTCTCTGAGCTAAAAGGAGCTAGCTCACAGGCCTGGTCAAGAAAGGGTCAAGTAATTTTTGCTGGGAATTAAATGGTCAACAATCTTTGAAAAAGCAAGAGCTACTCAAAAGAATAGACATGTATCTAGAGTGAAAACACAGTCTCTCTCTCTCTCTCTCTCTCTCTCTCTCTCTCTCTCACACACACACACACACACACACACACACACATACACACACACACACACGCACACACACCCCATGGGAACTCAAGACCACCAAGACCACTGCTTAAAATGAAAACTAGCTAGAGAGCCAAGAAACAATGGGAAGACACACATGTGACATTCTAACACTAAGGAAAAAAAGAGGAGGCCAAACTGTGCAGACAGCATGGTGTCCTATGAGCTTATAAAGTCATACCTAAGTCCTTACCTCCATTCTCATTTCAGGCGGTCGTCTAACAGGTAAGGACTACGACCTTGCCTTCTAGCACTAATATATGATCCTGAGCATCAGTACGGTGGCTACTGTTATGACTGTCTCCATTAAGATGATGAGGATGACAGTGATAATGAACTAGTAGGCAGATGAAATGCAGCACTTGGGGACTTGGTACCTGTTAAAAGGCAGTGAACTGCCACACCAGAACCTGTGCTTCGTTTCCAGACTGGTAGTGTTAATTGTGAAAGTAGAACAAAAAAGAAAAACCAAGCCTTGGGATGTCCCACCTAAGCCAGATAAGTCAACACTAGGTCCTTATTGTAAGAAAATAAACAAGTTTATCTTTGTCACAATCCAGTTATTCTTAATATATATTCATTTAATAGAAGAAAACATGTCAGGCTAATACTCACCTTTATTAATAGTCTCATAGCAGATTACACATACTCTTGCTTCCTTTTCTAGATACTGAAGCTTACATTTCCTGTTACAACAGACACCACAAAATACCTATAAAGAATAAAATACTAAATTTGTTTTTTGTCTCAAGCATATTTAAACTTAGTAGAAGCAAGGGGATAGAAGCTCAAAACTTAATTAGCTGAAACTTACTTTCTTACTTTATTATATAATTTATTTTTTCTAATCACCACAACCATAAATATAATTATTTAATGATCTTTAAGTACGATAGTTAATCTTGACTGTCAAGGTTAGGTGAAATGAGAGATGTTTAGTTCTGGGTATGTCTATAAGGGTGTTTCAAGACTAGATTGGCAACCAGAATGACAACTAAGGGGGAAAGACATACCCTGGATTTGACCAGCACTGCCCAATAGACTGGGGGCCTGGCAAGCATACAAGTGGAAGAGAAAGGCAGCCAATGAGGACAAGCTGTGCTCTTCCTGAGCAAGCATGTCTACTGCTGCTACCATCATTTGAAGACAACAAATTCCAGCTTCTTCAGACATATCGATGACTCTGCAGGGAGATTGCAGGCCTTCAGCATCAGACAGGACTGCACAATTCATTCCCTACCACCACAGTACTTTGATCAAAGTTCAGCTTCCTGAACTAAGCAGCTACTGCATTATCTGCCTCTATAACATGTGGATAATCACTGTTGGAATAATTAGCCTCCTATCATTAAATCTAGTGAACCCCTTTAAAATTATGTACACATATATTTATATATAAATATATACAGTAACTGTTTTTCTAGAGAACTCTAATTTAATGAATATTGTTTATTTATATATCTCTAATAAGAAAAAAATTTTTAATCAACTATGTTAGCTGAAAAGCAATAAAAACTTTCTTCAATAAATACTTTTCATTTAAAAAGCTTCCTGTAGCAGCCCAGGGATGATAAGCTTGCCTACAATTTAAAAGAACTTGGTTTTCGTAAGAAGGACACTATTTTGCTAAGATAGAGTAGTTTGATCTGAAACCAACATGAAGAATATTACATAAAAACCATGCCAGTCTTTAAAGACAATTTCCTTAAAATTCATAGACAGCATCTTTATCATCAACTACAATAAGGACACAAAGTCCAGCATGGTATTCTTTATAAGCAATTGGCTTTCTAGTGTTTTCATGGGCAATGATCAGGAAACTGGCTGCAAAATGGTCTTGCAATTCAGTATTTGAGGACAAAGGAGGATTCACTCAGCTTGGAACATCCAATTTATCAATATTTGAAAGCATAGACACTTACTTAGAGAATAGAAAGAGTAACTCAGAGAGAGTTTTCTTGGTGTGTGAGGATCTAGTTTTAATCTCTAAGACCATGGAAGAATAAAAGGCTAAGGTTTCTATAACTTACCTTCCCACATGCTCGGCAGTGGTGTCTCCGTTTTGTAAAAGTGAATTTGACTTGGCAGTTCATACAGTTTGGAGCTTCTGAATCAGGAACCCATGTAGGTTGTTTCTGGCCCAAAAGCAAGCCTTCTTTACGTATATTTTCAGGCAGAGAATCTTTGTTTGCAGTTACAAAGCTGGATCCACTTTCAGAATTACTTTCTATGTCAATGTAATTGGAGTTGAAGTTAACCTGAGCATCAGGTATATGATCTGCAGAGCAAGTAGATGCAGCAATAGTATTTGCTGTGCTTGGCTCACTTTCTGGCACATCTAGAACATCTGGACTATTCAGTTCCTTTGAACTCCTTGTTCCTGGTGGAAGATTCAGCAGCTGCTTAGGTCTAGCCCCCCCGACAGCTTGAGTGTTAATACTGGGGACTGGCAATTCATCCCTTATGTCAGGCTGACAGGCAGATATCCCTCTTTCAGCTGGAATTGTGCTTTTTTCTCCTACGGAAAGACCACTATTTTCTACTGTGTTTTCTTTACCAGTTGTTTCACAGACCACAATACCTCCGCTTTCCCCAGCAGCTCCTGCTTCAGCACTGAAGTATACATCCCCAGTGTTTTCATCACTGAGTCCTTTCCTATCTATCGGATTCATGTGCAACTGCGAATCATTTACATTTTCTCCAAAAGACACTGTGTTAGAGCTCTGAAGACACTGTTCCTTCAGGAAAGCATCAAGTTCAGCATCGCTAATTAGTGTGCCACTTCTCATGCCTTCATCAATATTAAAGTAATCTAACTCTTGCCCATCCACATGACTGCTGGAAAAAGTGAGACCTTCACATGGACCAGGAACCTCTGGGGCACACACAGCGGAGAGTGCCACTGAAGCCCCAGCTGCTGCAGCAGAGCTACTGTCCTCAGAGGACTCCAAAGACTCACCACTGATTACCATCTCCTCAAGCTCCACCTTCCCATCCCCGTTCTTTTCGTTTACTGGCTGAAGAAATACGTTCTCACACTTTTCCTTCTTCAAAAGATCTGTCTCCCCATCTAAAACAGCACTCTTCTGTATGTCTTCATGTATGGTCACTGCATCATTGTTCTGACCTGCAGACTCACTAGGAGGTAAAATATCACTGTGCACACTATTGTCAATTAACGATCCACACGAAGACCCAGACAATGAAAGACAAGACAGTGAAGGGGGCACACCATCACCTGAAACATGTAAAGATGAAGAAGAAACCTGGACTATATCATTATTATCTTCAAGGTCTAAATTTCCTGAGTCTTCTTTTATAGTCTGTTTCATGAACACAGCAGTTCTATTTTCCTGGAAGGAAAAGTCAGGTAACTTGAAATTTTCATCTTCTGAAGCTGGGTCACTTGGGGATATCCCTTCATTTTTTGGAAGCTTGCAAGGCATAGCAATTGTGTTACCTCCTTCTTCTAAACACTCTGTATTATTGACTGCCATGCCTACTTTCTCTTCTGCCAAAGAGCCATCATCTTTTAACAAGTCACATGGTAGCCTCTTGTATTGTAGGTTATCTTTGGTATTAGACATTTCAGAACTTCGTTCAGTCAAAACAGATAGTATGTCAAAATCAACTGTTTCTAACTCATTAGAAATCATTTTATCCTTTAAATTATCTGTTCTATTATATTTACAAGAATCGGAAAGTGCCATGTCTACTTTTACACCCAATTCTTTGATACTACTGCTATCTCTGTTTTGTGCCCCTGCATTGTTGTTATTCTGCTCTTCTTTGACAGCATCGCTACTACCACAGTCTACCGATGAAACGGTGAGAGTATCTCTGACAGCATTCCTACCACAGTCCACTGGTGAAGCACTGAGAGTATCTGAAGCTGAAGCCAGATCCAATCCTATCAAAGCCTCTGAAATGGAAGATGAGTCCAGTGTGATCACCGTGTCTGCAGGAGACTCAGAGTCGTCTGGCAACAACTGTTTAATGTCTTCCTCACTGTTGGTAGCATGTACTAAGTTACCCATGTCACTTATCAGGTCACAGACTGGCTTACTACATTGTCTCATACATGAAGGCTGGAGCTCATCTGAAGTCCTGGCATCTACAGAAGAAAGAAGATCAAGTCCCGCTACGTTTTTTTCATTCTGTCTAGAGGTTAAACCCTCATGTATCTTTCCATTGAGGAAAGTTTCATTTGCTTCTTCACAGGATGTTTCTGATGAGGCACAACTACTAATGCATCTTGGGTCCTTTGACAGCAAAGCCAGCTGTGGAGAAGCCAACTCTGAAGAAATTGAACACTGGTTAAAAGAATATGCATCTTGGAAATAATCTTGTTTATCTAGGAAAAAACAGAAACACAAAGTTATTCAGATGATGCAAATCAAACAAAGGTTATGAAGATATGCCTTTATAACTTCACATTGACTTTTTATTCGCTGTGAACTGTTCTAGTTTTACTTCTTAATGCAGTTGTCATAGGTGACAGAAACACTGTCAATAACTTAGCTGCACTGTAAACCACACCAGAAAAGACTGATGAGTAATCTTATCTTTAGCTGCTTTTGTTCTGTCATTGTCCTGATTAGATTTTTGTAAACTTGACACAAGCTAGAGTCATCTGAGAAGGGAAGCCTCAATTAAAAAAACATCTCCACCATATGACCTATATAGGCCAGTCTGTGGAACATTACTTTGATTAATGGTTGATGTGAGAGGGCCCAACCCACTCTCACATAGAAGGTGGTGCTACTTCTAGCCAGGTGGTTCGGGGTTGTAAAAGAAAGCAAGGGGTAAGCCATGAGGAAAAAGCCAGGAAGCATTACTCCTCCATGTTCTTTGCTTCAGTTTCTGCCTTGAGCTCCTGCCCTGACTTCCTTTCAAGATGGACTATATACTATAAACGGTGAGGTGAAGCAAACCCTTTCTTCCCCAAGTCGCTTTTGGTTGTGGTGCTTCTTCACAGAAATCTAGCTAAGATAGCCCCTATTTCCTAACTTCATTCTGAGGAAATACCATCTCTTACAGTAATGACATTTCATTTTACAGAGCTCTATCAATTTGTTTTCAGCTTCCTCATAAAGATTTTCTTCTAAGCTTGTATCTACAAAGTAACTTTTATTTCTGACTATTGATCTTACTGGTGTAAAAATAAGCTAATATGTTATAATGAAACAGGCACATTTTTGAGAGAACAATGTGACCAAGATTGAAAACAAATTTTGTTAAGGGGACATTGTAAGATTCTAGTGGCAAAGTAGAAAAACCAACAAACCTGGGTTCCGTTCAAAATCATCAAGAAGTTTGTCCAAGTCACTGACAGCTGCTTTAAAGTAACTGTCCATCCTCCCTGTGGGCTCACTCAGAATTTAATTCTTGTATGTCTAGAAAATAAAAAGTACAATATCACATTTACTTTTCTACCATTCAAATATACCATCCATTCTGTGTCAATACAACTATCAAAGTAGAAACAAAAATAAAATTAAACAGTACTTCTTTCCCATAACTTAGATAGAAAAATGGTCTCTACATGAAAATGACATAAAAATCAATTTTTACAACACCACATGTATACACACAAGCTATTGTATGGGGGGGTTGATGTATGCACATGAGTATGCACGTGGAGACCAGAGAAGCACAGAGTGTACCTTCCTCTATCACTCTGCTTATTGACTTAGGACAGGGCATCTCACTGAACTGAAAGCCCACCATTTCAGTGGGCTGGCCAGCAAGCTCCAAGGATCTACCTATCCCACAAAGTTGGGGTTGCAGGAACACACAGCCATGCCTAGCTTTACCATGTGCTATGACAAGATCTGTGAAGTAGCTGAGGTAGAAACTCTACCAGGTAAGCTTGAGACTCTGCAAGAATCTACCAGTGACCAACATCAGAAGGAAAGAATTCAAATTAGGGGGCTCTTTCTCACTTACAGGGACAAGTGATCATCAAAATAATGAAGAGCACACAGAACTGAAAATAACTCAAATAACATTTAAAAACCAAAAAATCATAACATTAAATTCAAAACCAAAGGATTCCATCTACTGGAGGGTTGTTAGGGTACCATTACTCTGAGAATTAATGAATTAAGAATAATGAGCAGACAGCCGGGCAGTGGTGGCGCACGCCTTTAATCCCAGCACTTGGGAGGCAGAGGCAGGTGGATTTCTGAGTTCGAGGCCAGCCTGGTCTACAGAGTGAGTTCCAGGACAGCCAGGGCTATACAGAGAAACCCTGTCTCGAAAAACAAAACAAAAACAAAAATAAAAACAAACAAACAAACAAAAAGAATAATGAGCAGAGAATTAATCCTTCACTTAGTTACAGAATATACCTCCAGATGATACAATAGTTGCTAAGGGAACGTTCTTTAGGTAAGAATTCAAATAAATAAATGCAGAAAGACTTAAACTTTAAACAAAAAATCTTTTCATAGGTCCTAATGCAATGAATGGGCTAAGCAATTGTTACCAATGAATGTTGAGACTTCAGAGGAAAAGTCTGAGAGAGGGAACTTCATAATGTTATGGTTGGGTCAATTCACTGCAATCCAGTGATCAGTTTCATCATCAATAATGTGGAAGAACAATCTCACAGACAACATGAGCCTAAAGCTAGTCAAACCTGAAAACTAACTGCATGTTTGCAGGAAACTTAGTCATCTAAAGACAACTAAAAAGATTTAAAACAAAAAACAAAACAACAAAAACCAAAGCAAGCAACTCATAATATAGGAAGACTTATGTTCTTCAAATGACCTATGGTGAATGACTAGTGAAAGAAAGAAAGAAAGAAAGAAAGAAAGAAGAAAGGGAAGGAGGGAGAAAGGGAAGGAGGGAGAAAGGGAAGGAAGGAGGGAGGGAAGGAGGGAAAGAAGAAGGAAAGAAGAGAGGAAGACAGGGAGCAAAAGAGGAAAGGAAGGGAAGGGAAGGAAAAGAAAGAAAAACTACTTCCAAAGTATTAGCAAGTATCTTTTTTGAAAAATGTAATAAAGCAATGCAAATTTTGTAAGAATGCACACAACAAAAGAATAGAGGTCATTAAAAACACTCTAATGTTGCCTGGAATACAGGAGTGAGATAGGAAGGTTTTTAAGAACTAAACATGATCGACAGGCATGACCTAAGGCCTCAGGTGATTCAGAAGTAGAGAGCACAAAGAGAGATATTACCAAACAAGAAGCACGTATAAAACAGAAATGTAGAAGAGTGTTCCTTCCATAAAGGGAAAAGAGCCTGAGAAAACTTCATTTGAAGGCAATGTCGAGAATTTTTTCCAGAATTCATGAAAAACTCAATGAATAAAAATACATCATATTACAATAAAAATAAAAAGAAATTCACACTTTTAAGCACATTATAGAGAAACAACTAAGCACCAAAGATAGAGCAGCCAGGGACATTTTCAAAGTTACAACAATTACGCATATAACAAGATTAAACCGAAGTACATTTCAGAAGTATTTTCAGTAACAATATATGGCATCCTGATTCAATAAAGCCTATTAACTCTTGTCTCCACTGTCAAATATATCACTATACCATATATACAGAAATGTACACAAAATATATGTATTAAGGCAAGAAAGGGAGTTTGAAGGAAGAGACAATGCAGGAAATAAGAAAACCCCAAAGCATATTCTGAGAGAGAGAAGCATCTATGCAACTATGAAACAGGAACAGAAAACCACAGGGAAGGAACATATGGGGAACGACAGCTGATCATAATGCCAACAGTAAAAATCTTAAAGTCAAGAGGCATGAGGGACACAGTAAGATGGTTCGTTCATAAGACACACTAACACGATTAAATGTAGTTGTTAAAAAGAAGCAAAATGCCGGGCGGTGGTTGCTCACGCCTTTAATCCCAGCACTTGGGAGGCAGAGGCAGGCGGATTTCTGAGTTCGAGGCCAGCCTGGTCTACAGAGTGAGTTCCAGGACAGCCAGGGCTGTACAGAGAAACCCTGTCTCGAAAAAAAACCAAACAAACAAAAACAAAAAACAAAAAAAAGAAGCAAAACTTGAAACCAACTGTTTAAACTTTCAATTTGGGAAACTATACTGAACAAACAATTCAATTTAGAATTTCTAATTCCAAATTAGAAACAGAAATAAACTGAAAACTAAAGATTCCTGGGGTTGCAGCTATAGTCCACCTTATGTAGCATTCATTTATGCATTGTATTATATTTATATGTCATTTGTTCTTTGTTAAAGTTGTTACGTGTTTGGATTTTTAACTGAGTCTCATTTAGCCCAGAATGCCCTTAACTCAGCATGTACCAAGAGATAACCCTGAACTCCTGACCCTCTACTTCCCTAGTGCTCCTGTTACAGGCATACATCATGACTTGGAAGAAAATGCATGTATGTGGCTTCATTCACAACTGTCAAAAAGTGGAAGCAACCACACTATGGGTCTTTGGCAGGCACATGGATAAATAAACCATGGTGCACATTATTATTTAGTGAAATCCGTTAGCAAGCCACAAGAGCACAGGAATGATCTCTAAACACATATCAATAAGTAGAACTCTATATTCACTCTATGATCCAATTATGTAGCACTCTGGAAAAGCAATGTTACAGAGATAAAGAACATACCAGTGACTGCCAATGGCTCGGAACTGGGGAGAGGGCTAAAGAATACAGCAGATGGTTCGTGGTAATAAGGTTACCTGGATGATACTACAATGATGAACAAAAAGAATAAACACTTGAAAATATCCATATAAGTTTATAGCACAAAGAGCACCTTTCAATGTACACCTGACAAAAAACAAAAGACTCATAAGGTCAGGGATCCCAGAAGGAAATACTGAATGCACCAAGCATCAAAGCGTATTACAAAGTATGAAGCAATGCCCTAACAGGAAATGGAGGAAAATGTTTAAGACTAAAAGCAAAAAGAACACAAGCACAGAACTCTCACTTCCTAAAGCAACTACTTACGTTATGTCCACACAGGGCATTACATAAGTTACTTACTACATTTACTAGACCATCTGGAAAAACCTTCTCCTGGAATTTAAACTTTTATAGGAGGGGACTAGTATTTTATTCACTTATATATTCAGTGTCCTTTTGGTCCCAATTTTTTTTATTTTACATAGGTGTTTTGCTGCATGTATGTTTATGTACCACATGAATACCGGAAAAGGTATCATAGCCTCTAGAACTGGAGTGAGGCACCATGTGCTGGGAATTGAACCCAGGTCCTTTTTTAAAGTAGCCAGTGCTCTTACCTGATGAGCTATCTCTCTAGTCCCATATTCAGTGTCTTTATCGGTGCCTACCATATAAGGTATGCTGTTGAGTAAACACAAGACTTTCCAGAGAAAATCAACAGGATTGGTTATCATTCTGGCATTAGATTTCTCAACAGTGACAACAGAGCAAAGAAACATGGAAGCGATGCTTCTAAAATTCTAAAAGTTACAAATGAAGCCATCAACCAAATGTAAGGGTTGAAATATTGTTTAGATGTACTAAATGATGTGTTTTACAAATAAGAAGATAGAGACTTGAAATCTAGGAAACAAGCTATTCCATATCAGATAGAAACAAAAGGAATGCATCCAAGATCATAAATGGTAACTCAGGAAAACTGCAATATAGCAGACCAGAGACAGAAACAAGGTGCCAGAGATCTTATGAAACATACTGCAAAACAACGAGATTATTGGAGGTATCTGAATCTACTCAGAAGTGAATAGCAAATCTTGTCCAGGGGGTTAAAAATCCCAAAGATACAAAGTACACATTAAAAAAAGAATGAGTTGGGAGTGATGGCACAAACCTTTAATCCCATCACTCAGAAGAGGCAGGCAGATCTGGTCAACAGAGCAAATACCAGAACAGCCAGGACTACACAGAAAAATCCTGTATCAAAAAAAACAAACAAACAAACAAAAAAGATATAAAACATATTCTGAAAAATGCAATGAGAGGTAAATACAAAAAATTAAGGTGACTTGTTACTCTAGAAAAGCAGAAATTACATAGTAATATAAACACAGAGTAACTCAAAGTTAACATGTAACTGGTTTGAGAATACCAGAGGAAAGAACATGCCCTGCAGTGCTTAAAGAGAGGGTGGATGCAGCAAATCTAACCCCTGTATCTTAATATACAACATGTACCCACACTACAGTAGGGTAGGAGTGAAGAAGAGAGGTGGCTATACAGCTAAATGTGCTACTTAGACGTTTGGAGGTTTAAAAAAAAATGAAGTCATTAGACTGAAGCAGTCTGTCTCACTTGTGAGAATTAGTCTTTACTGCCCTGAGGCATCTGCTTCTAGTAACAAACTCGCTTCATTCCTAGGCATTTAGAGTGTTATTTGTATCATCTATGGACGAAGCTAGAAACAGTCATTCTCTGTGTTCTATGACTCAAAGGAAGCCTAGACTTCAGAGGAGGAGTCTATTCATCTCTGGAGAGTAGGATTCTGGGTAAGAAGAGCAAGAAAGGGTAACTGGGTTATTCATTATATATCTCCAGTATCATTTAGTCTTTCTGTATGGTATGGTTACCCCCTTTTTCACAAAAGATCTCACTCTATAGCTCTGGTAGGCCTAAACTTGCTGTGTACATCGTTTGACTTATAGAGATCTGCCTGCCTCTGCCTTTTGATTACTAGGATTAAAAGTATATGCATCAGGCTAATTAGCCTTTTGACAAAAATAAAAAATAAAATTAAATATAATGGTAAAGAATAGGCCAGGAGTGATGGCATATGCTTGTAATCCCAGTACTCAGGAAACAGATAGGATGATCATAAATTCAAGACCAGCCAGTCTGACCTACATAGCAAATTCTAGGTTAGCCAGCACTATATACTGAGACACTGTCTCACAAAACCAGTAGATGAATAAGTGCATACATATTTAAAAGAGTAAAGAACTCTGTATATAGAATGCATTAAAAGAACTGTCGCCAGCCAGGCAGTGGTGGCACACACCTTTAATCCCAGCTCTTGGGAGGCAGAGGCAGATGGATCTCTTGAGTCTGAGGCCAACCTGGTTTACAAAACAAGTTCCAGGACAGCCAGGGACTACACAGAGAAATCCTGTCTTGAAAAATGTGGGGGAGGGGGAGAGGTGCAACAAAACACCAAAAGTTCTAAAAACAGTTTTCATGAGCAAAAGTGAGAGGATTAAAAATGGACCAAAGATTCCATTAAAGAACATGTATTTGCAAAGTGTCTCAACATAATAACACACACTACTAAGCATATTATTTGAAGTGTCAAAAATACAGGAAACAATACAATTCAGCAATTTGTAAAAAGTATGACAATGAAAATACTTTTCATTGAAACTCCTTAACATGAACTACTACTAAGCTGTGGATTTTCTCATTTCAAATAAACAGACTGTACTTTGTGGCTAGTGATCTATTATAAATTGAAGAAACAAACAAAATGTATGAACTCTCTATTTAATGTTTATGTGGAGAAGTGCTGATAAGATGTTTTTAATCTCATGGATACAAGGATGAGCTTTACTTGTTTACTTCTATGTATTTACCTGTGTGAATGTGGTTGACAGAGAGAACTTCCAGAAGCTAATTCTGTCCTCTATCATGTGTGGAGGGGATCTCACTTCGGCTGTCAGGCTTTGGCTGCAGGCTCCTTTACCCATTAAGCCCTTGTGCCAGCCCAAGAATGTCTTGAGATATTTTCACCAACTTAACCATTTAAATACTCTCAGACTTCCAAACAAATTTTTGTAATATTTACTTTTAAAATGGTTTTAAAAGTCTCTTCATGGTTTTAAAAAAATTGGTAACAACAGGGATGATTAATAAGAAAATGAAACAATAATAAAACTTCTAAAATTGCTAAGGTAAGAGACCATGAGGACCTGAGCAGAGACTAAGGTGAAGATGAAACAGAAAAACAGCTAAAGAACCAGAACTCCTGGACGCTGAAACAAAGGGGAAGGCTGGCATTACCGACAGACTCCCACACTGTGTGACTGGGCAGACTGACCATCACAGGCAACTCAAAAGGAGCAGGAAGAAAGGAAACACTTTCTGGGCTACTGTCTGAAGTACCTTGAGAACATCCTGGGGAGATGTCCAAGAGGCTATTGAATATAAGGACCTGGAGAGGATTCTGAGATAAAGATATGTAAATCAGCACTGCTCCGCTGTGAATGGAAGTGACCTAGGAAAAGATACAGAAGAATACAGAAGCCTGACATTAGACAACGAATGATCCCCAAACCTGTCTGCATAAAACTCCGCCCTGCGTTCTGTAGGAACTATCCAATATACAATGCTGAAAGAAAGAAAATCACAAAACTCTCTACAACATAAATCCATTTTCCACAAAAAGTGTTAAAATAGTATTAGCAAAGGGGAAAATATGGCGGAACAAATACTAAACTAAGTCTAGTGCAGGGATTATGTAAGCCTCTCAAAGCTAAGTTATATACCTCTACATCTTTAAAAGAGAAAAACAGATAATTTTATTATTTTCCTTAAAAATGATATAACATATCCTTATAATATAAAAATAATAAAAATGTTAGAAGGCAGTTGGACACTAGACTGTAAGCGGGTATAAAATTGTATGGAAAGACAGTAATATGATCATGAAGAAAATGTTCAATGTACATTAGAATAATGAGGATTTAAAAACATCCAAGTTTTTTTCAATATAATAAAGTATTTAATGTTGGAAAGGTGTGAGTTTTAAGAAACAATCTCAACAGCTACACAGAGAAAATGACACAGCCTCTCAGGCAAACAATGTAGAAATAGTAGAAAGCAATATGCAGTAACAGTCTGGGATGGGAGGAATCTGAACTCTCTCTTTAAATTCAAGAAAAGAAGCCAAAACTATTGAAAAATATGCAGATACTTTACCAATCATTAGGTGAAATAATTCAAACGAAAGATCTTGGATACAACAGATAATTATGAAAGGACTCCAAGTTAACTTTGATGTCTATCAAAATATATTTTAAAAAGGGAACATAAGTCTATGACCTAGCAATCAACCTCCGGAAAAACACTGTGCTCAAGAACACAAGGAACTTTCAGTGTTGCAAAGTTTGAAGTGGGAAGTGCAACAAGTGACTAGCTTATTTAATGCAATAGTCAAATCCCGTTTCTCATGCTTTGCTGAGAAATCCTAAGAGCAGAGTTTTCCAGGTCTTCTCTCTTCCAGCCATGTAACTATGCAAAGACAGATTTACTTCATGCTCTTTAATCTAAACAAGCCAGCACACCAAGATGAACTAAGAAATACAAGAACTCAGCTGTCTTTCTACTATGACAGACAAAGTAACTTGCTTCCTGGCAAAACAATACCACCCTTCTCTCTAAACTTAGTTTGGAAATACTGTTGGCTTTCAATAGAGATATTTAGTTAGTGTACTGATGCTTTTACTTTTATCTTGTTTTATTTTTGAGACAGCAGTTTACTGTGTCCCCAAGGCTGGCCTGTAGCTCAATCCTCCTGCCTCGATTACTTGCTGGGATTACATTACCGTCATGACCCACCATGCTTCATTGTATGATTATTTTTAAGTGAATATGTGAAAAAAAAGAATTTTTTCAGTTTTAGTTTCCAAAATGGTAGATACTCTGCACTACCTCTTACTTTTTCTTCAATATTTTTCAATTGTCATTACCTTCAATTATATGGGGTACTATGCGTAATTGGTATTATGATTGGGGATAAAAAGTTTTATCTGTAAGATAGCTATTTCAAAAGATTGTTTTTGCTCATATATTATGTGTACAGTAAAAATAAAAAGTAGTGGGTATATGTGTAAGGCTTTTAAAAACATGGGAGAGGCGAGCAACACCCTGATCATCTTAAGTTTAAAATGCAACATGGGCAAAAAGAACAAAGAAAAAATGTCAAAATGTTAAGCGGCTGGTTACTTTTGCTTGGTGGAATGCTACCTCATTCCTGATTCCTTCCTCTTAATTTTTAAATAGCTTGCCACTAAATGTGTAGTTTAATATCAAAGAGAGAAAAGAAGTTACGTGAGAAGTCAGACAGAGCTCTACTCAATCAAACCACTAAACTTTTGCCAACTTGAGAAACGCCAAACTCGGACGAGTAAGTGACGGAACCGGATGACATCACCAAATTAGTCTTTAAATTAAAAAGATGAACTTAAATATTAAACTTACGGGCCGGTTTTTCTGACATGTCTAACCAAGAACATGGGTCTGGAATGTTAACAAATTGCAATCACGGTCGTACAAACAGGTTAACCGTTAAAAGTTAAGGTCATCTCTCTTCAGAGGCACCAAAGACTAGACAGCCAGGGAACACTGGGGCATCCGTGAGACGAAGGCGGCGGCGATAACTGGCGCCGCGGAGACCCGCGGGGTCCAGTGCGCCCCTCTCGGCCCTCTATGGGTCGGGCATCCCGGGCGCAAGGAGCCCAGGGAGGCAGGCGGGTCCCGGAGGAAGGCGAGGCCCGGCCGTCGCAGCCCGACGAGACCGCGGCCGCCCCGCCCCTCCGCCCGCAGTACGCTGAGAAGAGGCCCGTGGCGGCTCCGGGGCTCTTACCTCCCCACACCCCGCCGAGCTCTCGGGGACTCGACGCGACGCCGCAATGAGGCGTGAAGAGCAACCCGACCACGACACCCGGGACAGCGCGACGCCGACCCAGAGTTCGTCCCCAGCCGACCTAGCAGAGAAGGGCGCAGGCGCAGAGAATGCTTCCCGCTGCCACGCCCCCTCCGAGAGGCTTGGTCTCTGCGCATGCGCGCTGCTCGGTCCGAGCCAGTGCACAAAGGCGCGCCGGAAATGGCTGAGCAACTCTGTTCACCGCTGGAATCCTGCGATCCGACGCGGTCCCAAGGACGCTCTGCTGCTGGCCTCAGGAGGTGACTCGGGCCACAGCTCCACTAACACGGCGCTCCAGTTTGCACCGGCCAAAACCAGCGGCGGACACTGTATCTCACCTTCGGGCAGCTTCCAAATGCCCGTCCCCGCCCTACCCTTCTGGCTGGACTTCTGCATTTCCAACCCGCTTTAGCCTCCAGCGCAGCTGCTGTCTGAAAACAGAAGCCAGCTAGCATCTCTGAAGGAGATGCGGGGCTCCATGCGCTCTCTCTCCTTCGGTCTTCGTCATTCTCACCACAAGTTTTCTAAAATTCAAAGTGAGAGAAGAGAAAATTGGTATTCGGACCTGTCTGGGGACGGCTGGCGCGCCTAGGCTTTCGAGATTACAAGCGTTCTCGCTGTGATTTGTGCTCAAGAGACTTCACAATCAGAGCTCGCATCCTCAATTCAGTAATTAGCAACTATAGTTTACCTTTCAGAGATTCTGAATCTCTAGTTCTGGGTTTTCTAAACTTTGAAGGGGATTTGTGTGATTTTAGATCAAGAGCAAAACTTCTGGTTATGTAAGATGACTGACATGTTCTGTCACAGACAATACAAAAGAGATGCTTTGCTTACATTAATCTTAAGAATAATTCCACAAAGTACAGTGTGTATTTTCTCTTTAATACGTTGGATACTGTTCACAGATAAAATGACTCTGTCATCCTTTGGTAACCTCGGTTCAGAAGCAGTGGCTCGTGCATACAAATTAGAGGCAAAAGTATTTATATAGTACAATGTAAGGACAAATAAGAGTTATTTTGAATTAACAAAAAACACTTTAAATAATGTGTATGCAAATCAATTCACAAAATGTCTACCACATTTTACTCATGTTCAAACTTAATAACGGCAAAGCAGAGACAGTGTATTCTCCATAAATCTGCTTTACCCATTTATAGATGAATTCATTGGTGAGAATAATCTGGATACTCTCATACCCTGGGGTGGATAAAAGTTAGCACAAATACAGATATAAAGTAGGACTTCTGGAAGAACCTGCTTAGCAGCCAGGTACAGTGGCACAAGCTTCCTCCCCAGGAACACCTGTAAGGAGAAGCAAGGTGACAACAGAACTTGCAGAAGGAGAGAAAGACAAGAAAAAACTGATGGGGACCTGGGAGAGGAAGCATCCTGTCTTTCTCTCCTGCCTCAATCCTATTACTAGGAGTATGTTCTTGATACTGAAACTGTGGATCTATTGCCTCCTCCCTTTTCCCTACCTGGATTTGAATTCTAGTTCTGTCAGTCATTAGCTTAGTGACTGAAGTTGCTGGGCTTAGACACTCTCTTAGTAAGACTGTGATAGGAATACTGCATAGCCTGAGATAGCCACATAGCACAATTGAATCATTGATGTTCCCATTGGCTTAGTCCTTTTCGTGAATTGTTGGATTCTATTCAAGTTGGTATGTGTGATGGTTTGTATATGCTTGGCCCAGAGAATGACACTATTAAACAGTTTGGCCATATTGGAGTAGGTGTGGCCTTGTTGGAGTAGGTGTGTCACTGTGAGTGTGGGCTATAACACTCTCATTCTAGCTGACTGGAAGTCAGTCTTCCACTAGCAGCCTTCAAATAAAGATGTAGAACTCTCAGCTCCTCCTGATCTTGTCTTCCTAGATGCTGCCATGTTCCTGCCATGATGATAATGGACTGAATCTCTGAACCTATAAGACAGCCCTGATTAAATGTTGTCCTTATAAGAGTTGCCTTGGTCATGGTGTCTTTCACAGCAGCAAAACCCTAACTAAAACAGTATGCCATTGCCCTGTGAATGTGGTACATAAGTATGCCTTCAAGCATACTTAAGAATGGACTTTCTGGGGCTGGAGAGGTGGCTCATCAGGTAGAAGCACTGGCAGCTCTTTCAGTGGATCCAGATTCAATGCTCAGAACTCACATGGCAGCCCATAACAGTGAGGGGATCCAACACCATGGGCACACAAGCTACAGAGACATACAGCAGGCAAAACATGCATAGACATAAAAGAAAAACTCTTTTAAAAACTGACTTTGTTAACATAGAACAAATCTTGACAGCTATGTGACTCTTGCCTTAGAAAGATCTAGATTTCTTGGTTTGTTCTGGTTCTTTTTGTTGTTTGTTTCTCAAGGCCTGATCTAAAATATCAATAGTGCCAAGGTTAATTTAACCAGCCAGTGGTTTAAAGCCAATGCTTCCAATTCCTGGTCCCTTTTTCTTTCTTCCCTCTTCCTTCTTCCTTCTTCTTCTTCCTCCTTTTCCTCCTCCTCTTCCTCTTTCTTCTTCTTCTTGTTTGTTGTCCTTGGTGGTGTATGTGTGTGGGTGATTGCTACCTGAATTTGAAGACAGGATTTTTGAGACAGATCTCTCTCTCTCTCTGTGTGTGTGTGTGTGTGTAGCCTTGACTGTCCTGGAATGCACTCTGTAGACCAGGTTGCCTGTGAACTCAGAGGCCTGCCTGCCTCTGCCTCCTGACTGCTAGGGTTAAAGCCCTGCTCCAGCACTGCCCAGCCTGCCTCTGCCTCCTGACTGCTGGGGTTAAAGCCCTGCTCCAGCACTGCCTAGCCTGGCTCAGTCCCTTTTCCTCTAGTGACAACAAGTACAAATATGAGTTCAGAGAATCTCTTCGCCAGTGCAAATTAAACTTTGTACCAAGCAGCAATACACTAGCAATTAAGGAGAGATGTCTACAATGGCTGTTTACAGAGCATACAGAGCAATGTTTCACACCTATGTGAGAACCAGGAGGAGCCCACACAGTCACTATCAAGAATGCTTTACAAATAGGTATCACTTATTGACCACCTACTGCTTTTTAGCCCTGATCTATTAAATGACAAACACTTCCTAGGATAAACAGTTTTGCTCAGCTGTAAGCAAGCCTAGAGCTCACAAGCCCTCGGGGTGCTGAGAGCACCCTCCTAAGCTCAGCAGCACAGATTTGCAGAGGGCTTTCTCTGAACAGCACATTGCAACCTGTTTCTCTTTACACAAGGCTTTTCTTCAGTTCTTGCAGGACAGTTATAATTATGACACTTAAAGACAGTTCAAACACCCACAATTTCTTTGAGTGTGCTTTGAAATCAATGACAAAGAAATGAGTAAGATTAACATGAGGATTTGTTGATAAATCTTATTTTCTAAAAAAAAAAAATCTATGCTTTGGACATCAATGCTTGCTTGTATACCATAATCACACTGTATTTCCTATCAAAGACAGACTCATTGCAAAATCCTACAGTGCCCTTATCTATTTATGATTGATTTGTTTACATTTTGACAAAGTTGCACCCTGTTGTCTAGACTAACTTCTTACTTCTGTCTCAGCCTCCAAAGTGCTAAGATTACTGGTTACATGTTACTTTGTTAACAATAAATTAAAAGAAAAATTATAGCAATATTACTTTGTAACTTCAATTGTTTTGTAACATGTGGATATGTTTGCCCAGTTGAGCTGTTCTATAACATACTAAGTTCAAGACTGATAGCTTTGTTTACTTGTGACTTCCAGATAATAAGTAAAACATGCTACTAAGAACATAAAGGCCTTTCCTATACAAATGCAATTGTACTTTGAATCGCTCTTATTTGCTCTCCAGTATTTTCTCTATGCACAGTACAGCACATTGTCATAGGAGTTACACAGATTCATGGCTTTAACACTGAGGAAGTTCACAACCCACCCTAATAAAAGAACCCTGCCATTCTTTTATTGACTAGCATAATCATTTGAGAGACAAATGGGAAAGAATACAAAATAATACATACATTTTTAGCCAGTTAAATCTTCTGCAACTTCCTTTACTAGTTAGGAGAAAAAAAGTGATCATGAACTATAGTAAAAATAAAATGTTATCAAAGCAGGGGTATGGGGGGTGCTGGAGAGATGGATCGGCAGTTAAGAGTCCTTGTTACTCTCCCAGAGGACCTGGGTTCAGTTCCTATCACCCATGTGGTGGCTCAAAGCCACTGTAACTCCAATTCCAAGTTATCTGGTGCCTTCTTCTGACTTTTCCGGGCACCAGTCATGCGTGTGGTACACAGACACACATGTAAGCAAACACCCATACACATGAAATTAAAGAAATAAATCTTTAAAAAATTACAGAAATTTCCTAGCAAATCTTGGGTTTTGATAATTGCTTTGAAAAATTACTTGTATCAACTTTGATCTCTAAATAGCTCAATTTGTAACTAAATGATTTCTACATTTCAGGAAATTCATCTCGATTGTACTATTTTTAGAAAATGTATTCCTTAGATTGGTCAGTCATTCCTTGACTCAACAGCAGTTTTAAATCTTTTTTTGAAAAACACTCATAATCTTAATAATTTTAAGAGGCTTGTGGGTTCACGATGTAGTCAGTGCTAGAATTCTTGGCTAGCATGGATGAAACACTGCGGTCTATTTAAACACAGTAATGGGGTAGAGCTAGGAGAGCTACATTTATGTTAATGTTAC